CTGATTTTATAATTATTTCACTTACTGATCATTTCATCTACTTTACTGACGAAATGTTTTGTTCCCTATACATAATATTGATGAAAAAAAAAAATCAAACATACAACAAGAATGGCAATTCGACAACATTTAAACACAACAACAATGTAAAGAGTTAAATAAAGTATTAAAATAGCACCTAAAATTAAATATAAAAAAGGAATTGAATAAAATATTTCAATAGAAAATTTTACCAAAAGTTAGATAGCCGATAAATGAAGCAGCTACGTCACGAGTATCATCGAACAAATAACAATATTTAATCAGATAAATAATTCGTTCAATCAAATAGAGCCACGCTAAAACCTAGAAGAATTATAAAGGATGATTTATTTGATAGAGTTTTTTTCTACCATATGAATTCCAAGAAGAATAAGAAGTATCATTCTTGTTTTTCTTACAGTATGATTTGGTTGGTAATCTTCCTTAGTTGTCGATTGCGACATTTGTATTGGTGCAATTGGTGCTTTTTCACTCGTTCGTTCCGATTGCATCTTTAAAATATTCTAAAATTTAAAGCATTTAATATCAGCTGCTACTGAAGAAGGAAAAAAACAACGAAAAATAAATAATTTGTGTATGAACGAGCTGGATAAAACTCGTTTGCATTCACATCGAGCCAATAAACACGTTGTTACTAAAGAGTGAAAGGAGAACGTAGTTATTCATTTTTTCTTTTCATCATATTATTACATATTATACTTTGTAAGCTATTTACGTTATAACCTATAAATAAATGATTTGCTATACTGCATTGTGATCAATAAAATCCATGCACTAAAATGAAAGAATACTGGTTAAAGATCCTAACATTTACCGTCAAACAAAATCGATGAAATGTGATGTTTTTTTGTATCTATTTTCTTTATCAATTGTAATGGAAATTAATCAGAATAATCAATGGAATTTTAATGTTTTCGATTATTTTTTTTTCATTAAAATCGATTTCGAATAGATTATTACTGGATTGAAAGTCTATGACTTTCAATGGATTTTAATCTGTTTTTTCGTGTTTTTTTACATTGGAAGTGCCAAAATATTTATTCATCATATTAGTGTTGTAGATATTGTTTCAAGGTGTCTCTATTTTTTTGTATATAATAAGAATGTTTGATAGAGAATTGAGAAGTATTTTATCGATATTTCTCATATGTGTCGTTTGTTTTATTTTTTCTTGCCTTTGTCATGCATCGGTAACTTGTCAGTAATAGTCCTCTTTTATCTCTTTTCCTTCAGCCTTTGTTCGATCGTGTAGGTAATGCTTCATATTTCTAAATAGTTTTATTTCGCTTTCTATAAGAAATCATTTTTCTCGACTGAAAGTGGCATAGACACTTCTAAAAATGACGACTTTTTCAATATAAAAAATATTCTATTTGGTCGATGTTGAATTAGTGATAACTTACGATATATGAAAAGTAATAGCAATTACACTGTGGTACCTTATAGGAAACTAGAAGAACTTTTCTTTTCCACATATGGGCAACATCAGACAAAAAAGGACATGAATGTCGAGCAAGTATTCAGGACGCTCTAATTAGAATTGTTAAATGGGATAAATGAAACATATTGATATTTCTTAATAAACTGTCAGCAACAAGATTCAATACCAAAACTAATTACATGAGGCTGAACGAGACGACATGAGCGCTTTTAAATTTTGAAAAAAAAGTTAAAGTGAAAAAATAAATTTTTAATCATTTATATATAACATAATTGACTTTTTAGTATACGATGATTTTATTTAATATTAAATTAAATCGATTCATCTTAAAATTAAAACTAGATTATATACCTGTACTTTGAATGAATTATGAAATCATGCTAAGTGATTGAATATTTAAAACGAAATAAAATCATAAATTAGTAGAAAATATGCCAAACTTATTTTCAAATAATTTTGTAAAACCTATTTTAGATGTCCTCAATTTTAAAATTTGAAGTTCTTAACTTTCCGAGAGAGATGAATGGGTTTTATTTTCTGTTAACACTTTATACATAGATACGTTCTTTAGTGATATCACTCAAAAGTATGAAATCTTTGCTCCATCGAATACTGCAGAATTACTTTTTAGTTCTAAAAAATAAACAATTTCAGAAGCGAACACGCAACATTGATAAGATAGATATACAAGTTCGTTTTTGATTACTTCTGATTTTAATATGCGTTTTAGAAACTTAATTAGAATTCCACTCTAACTTGATAAAATAATATAGAGGACAGAATAAAAATTTTCCCATTCGACTCTAAAAATAATTGCTAACTTTTATTATTTTTATTCTTTTACAAAAGATGCTTAATTGTGAAACACGGAGTGAAATAATATTTCTGCACTACATTATATGATGAAACTAATGATATTCATAAATGCTAGTTTTCTAGTTGCTGCGGTGGACCAAAGATGCGCTGCACGTGTTTTCTATTTTTACTCGACAAGCTCGGTATTCCTCAATATAGTATTATCCGATTTTGCTTTATTTTGATATATAATTGTGTAACCCTAGTTAAATTATATAATTTATTATTGAAACAAATTTTTTGGAACAAATTTGAGTAAAAGACTTACAAACATCTGAATTCTACGGTTTCAAAAGGCTGAAAGATTCCATTTAAGAAATGCACCTATAATAATGTCTAATTCTTAGTAACTGTTTAGTTAAATCAGATTTCTCAGAGTATATTGCTCATAGTCTAAATATGTTTAACCATCTCCTATTTATTGCCATTAAACGATCTATAGAAAATTTGTTTGTACTTTATTCTTCTTTTTCTTTATCAATCAATCTTAATTTCTATAGTAATTAAGACAACAATTCACAATGGGAAATAGAAATTCTTGAAAAATTTTTAAACGCTCAGAATCAATAGTGACAATAGATTCTGATAATGATATCAACGGGGGACAAAATAAGCTTCAGATTTGTGAATTGGCTCATTTTTGAGGATTTTTTAATGTTGTACCAAACTGCTGAAAAATATTCTACTGTTCAAACTATTTTGCTTACGTCAATTTACTGGTAAGTGCTCAACTGGCGTCTGAAAACACGTCAGACGTTAAATACTGTTGGGTCGGATGTTCAAATCCATCTTCTGTCTTTTTTTCATATTACTCGACTGTTCGATGGACAAACAGACTAGACGTGATTGTGCCCAAGGACGCTCTGGACTAGTTCAGACGTCATCGAAGGATATTCCTCGTCATCATAACTAGTCATGACGCATATAAAAAACGTTTCAGACAAGACTTGACCGGTGTTCCTGACATTTCGGACTAGTCATATTACCCGTCATCACTCACTGTTTGCTTCTTTCAGTTGCGAGGACATGCTCTAGCGTCCGGAGACACGCAAAGTTTTTGCAACTGTCGGGTAGAATGTTCGAATCCACCTTGTGTCTACTATTTATTATTCTTCTCCTCTTTTACGGACTCGTCTGGACGGACTAGATTGACAAGCGGACTAGACATGGCGATGTGTACGGACGCTTAGGACTAGTTAGGACATGATTGGAGGACATTTCGTGTCAGCATAACTAGTCATGACGCATATGAGAGACGCTTCAGACTAGACATAGCCGGTATTTCAGACTTTTCGAACTTGACATGTCGCTAGTCATCACTCATTTTTTGGTTACTTGGGATATCAGTTGTCTTATCTTTGATATTTTCTCTTATAAATATACAACTCAAACATCAGTGCAAGTATGAAATGGCAATTGTTCATCGTATTACTTTGTCTGGGAGTAGCATTTGTTGAAGGGACGTCGCTACCATGTGTTCTACCCACACGGCTTTATCATAACAGATCCCGAAAATAAATGTCATAAATATGAGTGTAATTTGTGTCTGCTCGGTCAGCCACTTGATGCGCCTTGTGAGCAGGGCCAAAACCAATGCGAAGCGAAGTATGGTCTCTGTAAGATCAGTGACTTGGATAGAACGTCCTGTTATCCAAATGAGCGCATTGGCTGCTGTCTCCTTCCATTGAAGTCGTAAATTCAAGGTCGAACAAAAGGAATCATGTTTAGAATTTATGACGCTCTATAAATGATATTCGAATTCCATCTAAATAATAAAAAGACAAGTCTTACACTATACTCATACTACTACGTTATGCGTGCATAACTCGCTACAAAATGATTAAGTTTTGTGGTGGGAATGTGTCTCTGATCACGATTAACTCTTTGTTCATGTAACAGCAGCACTTTGAATAGTGAGACGCAAATTAGTAGATACTTCCACTACTTCTCATTAGACTTTTAAAATTGAAAGTGGAAATAGCCGCTATTTTCTCTTTCAATAGCCATGAATGTAACTGATCCAGTTTAAGATTGAATCGATGAATTAACTTCAGATCTATTAATGACTCGTTTTAATCGACTTATTACATTGTAGCTTCAGGCACCAAGGATCTTTTATTCTCATTTCTATCTGGAAAATATTTCTTTTGTAATATTGTTCAGATGTCCTTGCGAACTCCCATTTCTATATTATCTGATATTAATAATTGTTTAGTGAGCTCAAGTACAAAAAGACTGAGTATAATTTTATATCATCTTTAGCGAGGATGCGCGAGTGAGATTACAGGTAAAGAGAACATTACCACCTACATCCACACGAGCACTCAGATTCTATTTCATTAATTTGAAGTGTTAGATTTTGAAACGAGATCATATAAAAATAATTTGATCCGATCTATTCCAGTACGTGTGTGAAAGTACGTAAGTATAACAGTACTTCAACAATTATTTCCTTTATATATTATAATATTTTGAATCTTTTTTCTTTCAAATCACTATTCGAGACTTGAGATCATTATCATCATACATCTATGTACATCAATTTGACCATTGCCCATCGAGTTAGTGTTTTATTATCAATGAAATGACGATATAAAAAATAAAATAGATGTCTCGATATAAACTAGTTTGTAATGAAGAATTGGTTCGATCTCATATTGAATTAAGTCTTGATTGAAATTAAGCCGATAGTGTCGTCCATAGTGGTGACAGGTTTGCTTTTATTTTTATCACCAAAGCTTTGTTTGACAAATTTTGAAACAGCACCAACGAGCAACTGCGATAATTTGCTACTAGTACCACTACGCGAACTAGCTGGACTTGTACGACGACTATTACCGACCACATTCTCAATGCCACGATGAACTTCAATATCGACAGACATGGTGGTACACCACTGTTGAAAAGAGCTATTTTCATAAGTTCTCATTTGTGGTTTACGAAAGTAACGCAACAAAAGTGAAGAAAGAACGACACTAATCGACGATAGAGCCATCGCAGCTGAAGCCATCCATGGTTTAAGGTGAATATTAGCAGGAACAAGAATACCTAAGCATTAAAGTATAATAAGTGAAATGGTGAAAAAAATTTTCCTCCAATTTTCACACCCAATGGCATCATCGCGATACAAAATGTTTTTTGTTGATTTTCTTGACCGATGAATATGAACAGTTTTCCTTTCTATGTTGAACTATTTAGTAGATTTTGTCACACTTTTTTTCCCCAAAAAACAAACGCTCTTAATTCGATAGATTTAGAAGTACGACATTAAATTTATCATCTGTATCAATATAAATATTTGAAAATTTTCGTTTGAACTCAAAAAAACAAAATGGCTATAAAATGTTCCAATGTCTAAACAACTGAGATATCGAAAAGTTTACTTGTAACTATAGATCTCAACTTGTGTCTCACTTTAGAAAATCCTACAACACAATAGACTGGTGAGTTCAATCATGATGGCATTCGTATTGAAAGTGACTATGACAAAAAGAGTCCCTTACCAGCTGCAATCGGTATGGCAATTGCATTGTATCCAATGGCAAAAATAAAATTGATCCATATACGCCAAATTGTCTTTTTCGATAGTATAATAGCAGTGACAACGTCAAATAATTCGTCACGAATCAAAACAATCGAAGCGGCTTCTACAGCAACATCAGTACCACTACCTACTGCAATACCTACATCAGCTCGTGCCAGTGCTGGTGAATCATTAATGCCGTCGCCAACCATCGCTACTTTTTCTTCTGGAGCCATTTTTTCTTTCAATTTATGAATAAAACGTTCCTTTTGCGTAGGCAATACTTCAGCATAAACAGTTTTGATACCAACTTTAGCGGCTATTGCTCGTGCAGTCTTGATATTGTCACCTGTTAGTAGAATCGTGTCTAGTCCAAGTGAGTTAAGAGCAAAAATGGTCAATGGAGCTGATGGTTTGATCTCATCGGCAATGACAAATATGCCAACTAATATATCTACACAAAAATGAAAAGAAGCATCACATATGTAATGAATCGATACTGACTCTCTTCATTGAATCCTACCATCAATGGCAACGAGAACAGCTGTGTGACCATCATGTTCATATTTTGACATTGTTCTATCAATATATTCATTTACCTGAATATTGTTTCGCATCATCCACTCTCGATTTCCAATTAATACCGTATAAGAACGTCGTGTGTCACTTTGTGGTATAAGACAATCAATACCAGTAACGCGAGCAAATAGACCATAACCCCATGTAGCTTTAAAATCAAAACATTGGCCCATTTGCTCAGTACCAAATCGTTGTTTGCATTCATTCTTAATCGCTAACGCTAGTGGATGTTCAGAACCACTTTCAGCCGTTGCTAATACAATTCAAAAGAAACTTTCAAAAATCCTATGAAAATTTCTCATTTACCTGCAATCGCTAACATTCGATCAAGTGTCAAGTGATGATCATCAATAAAGATCTGTTTGTCGACTACACTTGGCTTTCCTTTTGTAATCGTGCCTGTTTTATCAAAAACAACGGTTCGTACTTTTCTTGCCAGTTCCAAAGGTTCACCACCTTTAATCAGAATACCACTTGCAGCACCAACACCTACAATAGTAAAATCATGAATAGAGTTCTTTTTTTTTTGTTCTCAATTTTGTTTTTTCAAAATCGAAATCGAGTTATTATAAACTTTAATATGTATTACCTGTCGCTACCATGACTGCAGTTGGCGTTGCTAAACCAAGAGCACACGGGCAAGCAACTGATAAAACAGTAATACTATATCGAAAGGCAAGTTCGAATACAATTTCACTTTGACTATAATGTGTCATATTAGATTCACCATACTGTTAAAATCAAACGAAATATAGAATATTTAACAAAGATAGAAAATTATCTTACACTAGAATGTTTCTTAAGACTATCATAAGCCGTATAACCGATAATCACATAGATGAGCCAAGTTAAAAATGAAATAACAAGAATAAATGGAACAAAAACACCTGCAATTTTATCAGCTAATTCTTGAATGGGTGCTTTTGATGTTTGAGCATCTTCGACAAGTTTAATGATTTGTTTTAATGCAGTTTCTTGACCTACATGTGTAGCTTGCATAATAATTGAGCCGACTAAATTTTTTGTACCACCAACAACTTGAGCACCGACTACTTTGTCCACTGGCATCGATTCACCTGTAATCAATGATTCATCACATGTTGTTGTACCATCGATAATTCGACCATCAGTCGGAATTGTTTCACCTGGTACAACTTTAAGAAGATCACCACGTTGAATGAGTTGAGCAAGAATCACTTGTTCTTCGATTATTTTGCCTCTGTCATCAAGTTTAACAAGTACACCTTGTAGAGGCTGTAAAGACAAGAGCTTTTTTAATGCTTCCGATGTTTTGCCCTAAAACAAATTCATATAGACATCGATTTGTCTCTAACAACTAATATAATGATAATAGAATATGAACAGTTCTTTAAATTTGAATCTTAATTTTCCTAAAGAAATTTTTTTAAGATAGAAAACTGCTAGTATGTTTTACTTTGACAATATTTTCCAGCCATCGACCCAGTGCAACGAAAAGAAAGAGCACTAAACATGAACAAATTGATACATATTATATAATTCATAATTGAACTCACAAGAAAATACTACATACTTGGTGGAACATCGAAAAATGTCAATGGACTATCCAGTTTCAGAATGATGTTCACAATAATGATTAAAATAGAATAGACATAGGCAATAGTTGTTGCCATAACAATGAGAACATCCATGTTTGCTGATTTATGCTTCAACGAACGATATGCAGTAACATAGAAATGTCGACCACAAATGATCTAATGAATATGAATGAAGAAAAATGCGATGAGAATGTTCATTATCGAAATGAAACATATCATTGTACCTGAACAGGAGTAGCAAGACAAAACATGACTAGATTTTCGAGCGAAAGACCACGTCGAATTTGTGGTGCATTATCATGATCTTGCCATTTAAACATAAACAGAAGCATGGCAACCATAGCCGGTACACCAAATACAGTTGACAAGATAAATGTGTTTCTCCATCTATAAACAATAAGTCATATTCAAAAAATCGATATTGTGGAAAAACGAAATAAGAACATCACTTTTTAGTTGTTTGTTTTTGTATTTTAGCTATGTCATCACTCTTATAGTCGTCTGACAAAAGCGTTGCAGGAAAGCCAAGATCCTAAATATGTAAATGTTGAATTTTAAAAGACTATTCCTTATTTTTGACTTCACATACGCTAATCTGAGTGATAATATCTCGTGGGCCGATAATACTAGCATCATATTTGACTCGACCACGATGAGTGAGTAGAGCTATATCGACAGATTTAATACCCGATAATGCTTTGATATGACGTTCAATTTTGCTAACACACGAGGCGCAAGTCATGCCATCAATCTTCAATAATAAAATTCAATAAATTATTCATTTATTTCAATATATTGTGAAACACGACCAGAAGTGAATGTTGAAGTACGTATAGCGAAAAAGGTGAATCTTCTGTCTTATAGGTACGTGACAAACAGTATGCGATTTCGAACTCCAGAATTTATATTTTAACATAGATGTTTTTTGATAAATAAATATGTAAATAATAATTCATTTAGCTATTTATTTATCTTGGAAACTATTTGCTCTCACGATGGTTTTCTAATACACGTTCTACGTTCGAAATAAAAATAAGATTCTAATAGAAAAGATCAAGTGGCTTCATTGTTTTTCACATGTTACTCTCATAGAAGTTTCACTAACAACTTTTTTCTATCTATTTCATAAGCCTGTCTTTCTAAAATACAACAATTCAAATCAATTTAACCAAGATTATCTCACCGCTGTTTGTTTCTCCTGGGAGTCTATCCAAATTTATGAATTTAACAGTTTGCTAACTACATAGTGCGAGTTTTCTTGCTGTCAAAATAGTCGATTTGGCCTACAAATTTTCTCATATGTATGAATTCAATCAGATAAACCGTTAAGCAATTTCATTATACATATCCAAACATACATACATTAACATCAATAATATCAGTGCCAGATGTCGCTGTTTCGACTACTTGAGCACGAAACCCAAGATCTTTGATTAAGCCAGCTATCTGTGATGGTAATAAATATTCAGGATCATATTTGACTTCGGCACGTTGGGCAAGTAAAGCCACTAATACAGAGTGAATTCCTAAAAAATAAAGAAAAACCTCATATACAAACATTATCTAGACCATATAATCAAAAAGAGTACAAGATTTGTTGTGTTTTTTCTTACCTTCGACTTTTGATAAATTTCGTTCGATACTATCAACACACGATGTACAAGTCATACCTTCCACTTGAATGAAGCATGTTTCAATACCGTCACTTTTCTTCGTTATTGCTGGTGGTTTTCTTCTAAGCTCATTTCGATTGTTGTTGAGTNGTTAAAATAATTGATCATCAATGATTGGTTCTCATTGCAGCAATGTCCGTCAAGCATAACTCGTCACATATTCATATACATATATATATACGTCTATTCGAATTTCTGTCGAACACATTATATCAATAATGACATATTTATCAAGTATGTGTATGGAATTATTTGACAATATCCATTTATTTTTTTCTTGTTTTCTACAGAAGACAATGTGCAACTACTCGACTTACCTGATGAAATAATTTTAACTATTATGAATAAAGTCAAACCTCGCGTGTTATTACTTTGCTCTATTATTGCTATTGGTAACAATCGTTTGGAACAACTTGCACTTGAAAAATGTCAAGCAATAGATTTGACTTGTAATTACTTTCAATTACAAGATCAATCACTTTTTCAACGACGATTTTATTCACATGTCATGCCTCGTATCTTCAATAATATTCAATCATTGACACTCTATATTCAACATCTTCCGGATATTGTCACTTTTGCTGAAAAAAATTCTGATAGAATTTTTCCAAATTTGACACATTTGAAAATAATGCTTTGTAAGCGAAATCCTAAAACATGGACATCATATATACTAGGTAAATTATTCTTAAGTATATTTTTTCAAAGATCTTACGTACTACTTATGTTAATTTTCTATTTAACAAATATGTGAGATTTTATGAATTAACTATTTGAAAATGTCTTGTTTGCATTTTGTGCTAAAGAAGTTTATGCGTTACTTTTCTACAGAGAACTTTTACACATTTTAAAGAAATTATTGGAAAACCTATCACATAATTTTACTTCTATTTTGAAATATCACTGATTCTCCTAGAAAAATATCAGTTAAAAAAAATATAGGAAAGTCTTTTTAATTTAATATTATCAGAAAAAACAAAAGATTACATTGAAAAAATATTAGATTATACCATATACACATATATATTTTAGGTTTTGGTATTTACAGTATTTTTCGTCATTGCCCTCTTGTCTCAACTGTACCTAATTTAATTCGATTAACTGGGTCTTCTAGTGGTAAAATCTTATCTAGTTTTTGTTCTTCGACACTAATACCTTCTATAATATCATTTGAACTTGATGATGACTGTGTTTTACCACATGTATCGAATGATTACTCTTTATTCTTTCCTCAATCAATTCAACTGTCACATATCCAAATAACATTATGTTATGTTGATGATTGCATTTGTTTACTAAAACAATTGGGTCCACAACTCTATTCATTGATTGTGAGCATTGTATATGTTGATGGTACAACAACTTGTATTATATCTAAAATACCATTAGTAAGTTATATTTCTTAATTTCAAATTTCATTCAATTCATTTATTTAGATTTTATGTCCAAACTTAAAACAGTTGACAATGAAAATCTATCGTAATTTTGTTGATTATAAAAAATGTATTGTACCTCTTCTACAACGTTTGTCAAATGTTGAATATTTAACATTATTATTAGCTATTGGTGAAACAGGTGGTACGCCTAATCATTTTATTGATGGATATGATTTAGAGAATGATATTATTTCATACATGCCTCATTTATATCAATTTAATTTTCACATTCGTTCCATATTAGAGAACGCTCCGCATATTGAACTTGACACAATTCGTCAAAGTTTTTTTCGACGACAACAACAGTCTGTTGATTGTACAATCGACTATTTCAATAATAACTATGGTCAATGTCAAATATATTCACTTCCATTCATTGGTACTCGTCTTGAATTTATTTCCAATCGATTTCCACTCTTTGATACCACTAACACATTCTGCATGGTTACTATGCTATTACTTTTCGATGATATCAAACCATTCGAAAGTGTTTTCTTTGAACGTATAGCTCAAGCTTTACCTCATCTCAAAATACTTGAAGTATTTAATAAACTTGAACAACAAGAGAAGATAACAGCAACAACAAACAATCTTAAGTTTACTCATTTAACTACACTGATTCTATTTGATATTCATATGGACTATGCTGAACAATTACTTTGTCGAACTTGTCTTCCTTGTTTAAACGAACTTGCTATTCGTAATGATATACTGTTAGCAATAATCGCTCAAAATCAACATCAAACAATAGATAATTGTTCTAGAGTAGAACGATTACGAACCTCTGAACCATTATATGACTCACTAAATGTTCTTCGAAATTATTTTCCACCAGATTCTTATGTAAAACATGAGAAAGAAACACAAACAACATAAATTAATTTCTATAAAAGTATAATTAACTATTTCTCTTAGCAAAGTTTTGTTTTTGAATAGTCAGTACAATAGAAACATTGGAAATCTATCTTGATTCAAATATAATACTAAAGAAAAATTCATATCTCATTTTATTCATTAATAAATGAAATATATCTCCAGACTTTTATTTCTTTTTGAATAGATGACATAATTAACAAAAAAAAAACATAAAAATCTTTTGTTTTACCAAAAAAAAAGTTAATATATTTCGTTATTTTTCAACTGAATGAATAAATTCATGATATGTTTGTGCAATGCGTTCAATTGATTGAGTTCATGGGGAATTTGAATTTGCGACAAATTCCAAAACAACCAATCCAAAGCCGCAAGAATTCCATAAACTATGTTCATGTATAATTGCACCGCTATTTTGTTATAAGGGGGATATTTTATACCACAATTGTGGTATAAGGATACAAGGGTATATTTTATACCAACATTGTGGTATAAGGATATATTTTATACCGCCATTGTGGTATTGTGGTACAAGGATATAAGGGTATATTTTATACCACAATTGTGGTATAAAAACACCTCTTATACCACAATACCAATAGAGGAATACAGTGGTAGTTTTTTATTTTGTTACAAATAGAGACGATTTGTAGATATATGATTTTGCCACAAATTCAGATTCTCCATCATGTGAATAGTAACAGCTAGCGACTTGCGATTTTCAACAATCGAAAAAGGAGAAATCTGGACGTCTTTTTGTCAAATACTATATAAGACAAAATTATTTAAAAAATCCATCACCTTCCCAAAAATATTCCGCGGTATTCAGTTTCAAAGAAATTTTGAGAAAAAAGTCACAAAGACATTAGATTATTTGTTATCGACTATAAAATAAGCTTTAAATTAAATAATATTATCTTGAAGGCTTTCACATTGAAATGTTGATATGTATCTATTGTATGGTTGTATTTTCTTTTGAAAACAAAAATCAATTTGAAAGAGAAAAAAAGTTAATGCTTTATTATATGCACAGGTCAAAAAAATTTATTAATCTATTATCTATTTCAAAAAAGAATAGACAGTTGTTTATTGAATAACTCGGCAATACCAATAGCTATCGAGCTCGAGTTTTCGCTGTTAGAAAGAGCATGAGTGGGAATAGAAGTCTACCTGAGAATCAAAATATTTGAAAAGTTTTTCAGGGATGCTTTTTTTTTGGAAGATCACTGTCTGATTCACTTGATTAGCTGTATTTTCAAATGAAATTGAAAATCCAATATCTCGAGAAAGGAACATCTTTTTTGGCTAAAACTTTTAGGATATTCTAATGGGCAAATTTTCAGGTCGAAAATTCAGTATAAATCGTCGGAAAGGTCGAAAACACCTAAAAATTTCAGAGTTTATAAAGTAGACATTGAACTACAATATGGCTAAATTAAAATTGAAAATACAACTAATCAAGCGAATCAGACAGTGATCTTCCAAAAAAATCATCCCTGAAAAACTTTTCAAGTATTTTGATTCTCAGGTAGACTTCTACTCCCATTCATGTTTTCTCTAATGACAGAAACTCGAGCTCGATAACTATTAGCGTTGCCGAGTTGCTCAACAAACAATCGAGTCCATTCTTTTTTTAAATGAATAATAGAAACAATATGAATACCTAAGGGGATTTCTTACACTCATATTCGAAATCAGTACAGTTGTGTGGGTGTGGGTCTTACTTATTAATCTACACCCACACCTACACCCACACCCTCGTGCTTCTTACATTTTTACAATATTCATTTTTTCAGTTTAACTAAAGAAAATTAATGAAAAATTTTTATTCAATCAGATCTTTCACAATTAAAGAGTAGACTTCTAATGTCTAATTTACATATTTTATTTTATTCTAAACGTATTATTACGTTTTATAAGAAGCACGCTACATCAGAAATATTTTGTTTGACAAGAGAAAAATAAGTTGACCGATAGACCCATAAAAAGTTATAAGGGAAAATATTAGACAAAAAAAAATGCCATCATCTATTCGACGGTCAAACAGACTGAATTAATTCAAAGCGAATAAAGAAACATGATTGACCTTTCTATCTAACAATGCCAATTGTATTGGTTAGTTCACTTTTCAATTAGTTGAGTCTGTTTGTCATCTTCATCATAGAACAACATGACAGCATCGATATTTATTCGTAACTGTTCTTACACACGGCAATGAGAAATATATATATATATAAATAGATTGAAATGAATACATTATATGAGTTAGATATGAACAATTCAAATAACAATCATTTCAATATACTCGATTTTTCCGATGAAATTTTATTCATCATCCTTGAAAAACTCAATATGGTTGACGTTCTTTATTCATTTGTGGATGTTAATCCACGATTTAATCGATTGGCACTTGATTCTCTTTATATTCGTGATCTTGATATGACTAATATCACAAACATCAATTCATTGTACGATCAAACTTCTTCAGTAGATGTTCAAGTTCTTTCAAGAATTTGTAAAAAAGTCTTATGTCAAATTCATGATCAAGTACATAAACTTACTGTTGAAGAATATTCGATGAAACAAATTCTTCGTGCTGCGAATTATCCTCAACTTTACTCATTATCACTTTTAAATTTTGAAGAAAAAATACTTTATCAATATTTAAGAGGTATAGTATTTTATTTTGCTCATTAGAATTAAAAATATTTAGTTACATCAAACTTAATTATCTTTGTCTTTTTTTAAATTAAAGATGATTTAATTCTTCGTGATCTTCTTACCAAACAAATAACACATCTTAATATCGATATTAAAACGACAGAAAAAATATGTTCAAAAACTTCTTCAAAGATTTTTGCATTAATCTTATCTTTATGTAAAAAATTAATCGTTTTGAATTTTTGTGATATGTTTCCTACACAAAAGTATTGGGGTACTTGTTTTTATCTACTATGGAAAAGTTATAGGCCTTCAACTTTAGTCAAATTGAAAATCAATGTCGCAACTTTAACTGATTGTCTTTATCTGCTTGATGGACCTCTCGTTTGTTTATCAACATTAATTATTAATGTGAGAGACACTTTTCATCCATTCGAAGATATAGATCCAACAGTAAGTAGAATTTCAATGATCATGTGTAGAGAAAAAAGAACATAAAACTAAATTAATAAATATTTTTAATTTTATTTTCTTTATAGAAAAAACTTCTCAAATTGAAATGTTTTTCATTCACCGTATTAGATATCACATTTGATTATGATACTCTAATTGTTCGATTACTTTGTCGAATGATAAATCTTGAAGAATTGAAATTATATCTAACAGTAGGAAGATCTAACTCGGCTTATATTGATGGTATTCAATTCTATGATCAATTTCTTATGTATATGACACAATTAAAGAAATTTGCATTTAATGTTAAGACAGTAGTCTACAATAAGAACGTTAGCGTTGAACTTCAATCGAATGAAGATATTCAACGCAGTTTCATCGGAAGATGTTATCAACAAGTAACTTCATATATTCATACTAAATCATCCAAATGCGATGGTGAATGCCATATCTATTCACTTCCATATAACTTCGAATATTATGTTGACCTCGACAATTCTTTTCAAGGTGGTATGTTTGATAAAGTTCGACAATTGACGATGAGTGATAGAAATTCTTTTGAACATAAATTATTTAAACTCATCTCTCAAGACTTTCCTTTTCTCGAATTTTTATATATATCTAATGTTGATCCACAAAAAGACAAACAAGATTCATCAACATTAATCACATTTCCTTATCTCACATTTCTTGACCTACAATATGCATATATTGACTATGCTGAACTATTTCTTTTGGAAAAAAATATGCATCTACCTCGTTTGATCAATCTGCGCACGACATACAAATCACTTGCAACCATAACAAACAATTTTACCAATGATGCAACACATTTTAATTTTGGTAAATTGATAAGTCTTGATGTATGCGAACCATTTGTTCGCCCAAATAATTTTCATCAATATTTTCCTTTGTTATGAATTTTTTCAATAAAATAAAATACGATGAGAAAACTAAATATTTTTCATTAATATTATACTGCAAGAAAGAACATGAGAATAACTCGACAGTTTTCGATTCTCACTCGACTAGAAAATGTGATGCGAAGCGATTAAAACGTCTATTAACGGGAAATCGTATCGAACGAATAGTCATGTTTACGATTGAATATGAACGATTTTATTTCGAAAAGTATTTCTAGTCTATTCCATCAAGTTGTTTTTCCTGTCAGTATAGTGAGAAATATTGAATATCAATCGGAAAGTCGAAGTTGAAAAAGTAAACATTATCATATTCATTAGTATGAGAAATCTTTCAATGGATATCAACTCATTTCTAAAAAGCACTATCGCTTGAGCATTTGAATATCCGTATTATTCATTATTTATTATCGGCTGCGATATATAAAATCAGATGTGGAAGCAGAATTGTAGCTAAATTTTCATTGAGTGATTTGTCAGGCCCCAGATGACTCAGAAGATTGTCGTCAGATTCGAAAGTTGTTAATGCATTTGATTTTCAGTTTTGATGTATTGATCTGTGTACTACAATTTCGATGTCAAAAAATTGTTAATTTTATTTACCATCGAATGAGATATTTCTTATGACGGGCACAATTCTACAAACTTGAGCTTTACACCGATGAGCAAACATAGCACAAGTCATGAGGAACCGTTTTTGCAGAATTGAACCACTTTGGTATGCGAAGGCGATCAACGAACGAGCCGCTTCTGATGTGTAGAAAATGATAGGATTATGCAAGCATGGTGCTGTGAGAGGAGAGGCTCGAACGTGATACTAATTCTTGAGAAACCAACACGTCATTTTGCCATTCCTATCGACTATGCTTTCACTCATAACATGTTGTAATTGTCGAACGATAGGTATATGAATGACATACCATCGTCAATCATTTGTGCTCACTTTTCGAAGATCTGTAGATTTATAAAGCATGAATTAGTCAATATCGTTTTATTTTATTTTCGTGCCATTATTTTTTTTTGTGTTATGAAAAAAGATATCATTTCCACCCTTTTCTTTTCGAATACTTGTAAGAAAAGCTCATTAAGATGTAAATCTGAACTCATAAGTATGATTGCTTTATTCTTGAGGAAAAAATATCTGTTATGTATAATTCTTTATGACAAGAAAAGTTAATGACAAATAAATTCACTGCAAACTTTACAAAGAAACATTTAGATATGATTATTAGAGAAAAATGGATACACATGGCTGTTTAATTGTTGTTGTGTGGAATTTATCCATGGACAGTATTCCCTTTATTACTTTCATCTTGTGGACGTGATGTACTTCCAACACCTTAAAAAAAATGACTAATTCTGTTCTCGATTTGTAACAACAAAACTTACCAGTCCCTCCGCTGCTACTATCTCCACCAGTAGAACTTTGTTCGCCACCAATACTTTGATTAGTTGTATTCGTCATGCCAGCATCAGCTGAACCACCTTGATGTCTAACAGTATCACCTCTATAGCCAGTATTATTGGAGCTACCTCCACTTGTCATGGATGAACTTGCTCCAGCTGCTTATTTTCCTTTTGCTCATTCATTATCCTCATTATCCATTGGATTTCCTGCTCCTGCAGCATTTACCGTTGTTTCTCAGGTTGATATAATTACGATTGTGTGTACAAATAACCATAGAATACTCACGAATTTCTCTTATGTATTAAACAAGAGAAATTGCGACGATTTCATCACAAGGATGAGATCATCCGGTGCATTTTTGCTATCAAACATATTTTTTTGCTATTCAATAAGATTTTTAGCCATATTTTCTCGTGTTGATACGAAAAAGAGCGGGAAAGTAGTAAAAATGTCGAATGAAAAACGTCGAAAGTTAGGATTTCGAAGCATGTGAGTATAAAGTGAAGATGTGCATGTGGTTGTTGCTTTGACGATAACTGTAGCCTTGACTGCAAGTGAAAAGCAGACCCACATCCCCACCCGTCGTCACCCCCTACACAATCACAACCACACCAGACTCACTTAAATCCATACCGGAACACACGGACTGCTACAGCCAATACCTGAAATGCTACAGCTGACACCTGAGATGCTATGGACAACATTCATGATGCTACAGATAACATCTGAGACGTTTCAAACAGCACCAGCGATGCTACGGATAGCCTCAGAGATGCTGTAGATAACACTTGAAATGCTACAAACAACACTCGAGATGCTACTAATAAAGCCTAAGATTCTCCAGACAACACCTGTGATGCGACAGATAAGACCTGAAATACAGCAAATAACACTTGCGATTCTACAGATACCGCCTGAGACATTCCAGGCAGCACTTAAGATGCTACAGACAAAACACCTGAAATGTTACAAAGAACACCCCAGATGCTGCTGCTAACACCTGAAATGCTACGGACAACGCTAGTGTGCTACAGACAGTAGCTGAAATGGTACCAGTAGTATTTCCAGTTAGCCCCTAAAAGTTATTGGTAGCATGTTCAGATAGTTCTGCAAAACTTACCTTGACTACGTGTATTAGAATTAAAAATAATCTAAACTTAATACTTTCACTTTGACATTATTTAACTTCAATGACAATAATGCTGAAGCATCTGTGTTACTGGTTAATGATACGGGAAAACCATAAGCCTTAGCAATAAATAATGCTGATGATGATTCTAATGCAATTCTCTTACGCTCATTCTGTATCGACACCTACACTATATTCACAGCTACTCCAAATCCACGGGTGCATCACGTCCACACCTACACCGCATTCACATCACACCTGAGTTCGACAACATTTAGATGCCAATGCTTTTAAATTTTTTCGCCATTTTCACTTTCGACATTTGTTTTTCGACAATCTGTTTTTCTACGTTCTGTTTTTCGACATTTTCTCTTTCGACGTTTTCTCGTTCGACATTCTACCACCAAACCAAAACAACATATCAGTTGTATACATTGTACTCGATGATCTTAGCTTTATAGAGCATTTGTATAACGACAAATGATCAATATAAAGAATAGGATACAATCTCTTAACGTTCGAAATACATATGAGAAGTTTGTATTATTTTAGTTTATATTGAAAATCTTTTCCAAACAATCAATCAATTATTATGAAACAAATATTATTTTTTCTTTGCTTTCTAAATAAATCATGAATGTTTTGAATGGTTCGCTATTCAATATTCCGGATCATTTTCAGACATAAGATATGATAAAGATCAATAAATTAATTGACATATGAAGACTACATAACAATATCCACTTCGCTATTACGTTTTCTATTAAGAACAGTTTCCAAAATCATACGCATATTTCTCTAAAATTTATTAATATATAAACTCATCTTTTTGGATCATTTTTATGACATCAATGTCATGATTTATAATCTGTAAGTCTCTTATCTTAATCATATATTAGACGGACAAAAACGTAAGCAAAAAAAAATGATTCAATATTATTGACAGAGAAAGCGAAGTATATTTGATCCTAAATAAATTTGTCTATTGGAATATGTTTTTGATCGAATAACTCATTATCAAGATTTATTTCTTTGCTAACAGCCCTACAATAAACTATTCTCTTAAGTCGTCTTTATTATCGAAAGACGACTGAATAAATACATTAACTTCATCATGCTTTGATTTCTTCTTGTCGTTATACTGATGTTTTTATTTTTCTTCTAAATAACTACAGTTGATACAACTTTTTTAACAAAATCAGCCCAACGATGCTTTCAAAATCGCGATGAATTACTTTGTGGAGAATATGGTATTTATTGCAAACGTAGTTTACAAGAATTAGTTTTTTGTTAATTTTTTTTCTCTACTTTATTATTTTCACTTTTTTATACTTATATTATTCAAATACTGTTTATGCGATGCATTTGCCAAAAAGGCTTTTTCTTAACCAGTGATTTTAATTTGTTTTCTTTTTTTTTATGATAATTTTCTTTTCTAATGATAACAGATTTGTATACCCCCACCCGTTCTCTCTCTCTCTTTCACGCACATGATACATTCTCTTCTCTCTCTCTTTCCCTGGTCTGCTGTGTGTCACCCTGGCCATTATAGAAATATATATATGTTATGTAGAAATTTCATTCGTAACGATAGATAGAATGGGTCGACAAAAATTTTTCCAGCGTATACGTTGTACTGAATTCGACGTAAGGATTGCATTAATATATTTTGACATAACTAAAATACTACTATTTTTAATTAGGCGACTAAATTAAATGAAATGAAAACTATAGCACAAACTCGATTAGGGACGTATCAGGATATGAAACAACGTTTTGTTGGTCATGATGATGCTAAATTGCTCAAACAGGTAGATGAATATTATTCACAAACAGAAAGTGAAATCGATATAATTAATGGTTTATTACATTATACCAAACATCTTACGGTGCTTGCTACATTCAAAGATGATGCAGGTTTAAGTATAATCGGTCGTTTATTAAGTTATGCCGAACACACGGTGGATCTTGCATCAAAAAAACCAATTGATTCAAAAACAAATGTTACAGATGAATCTGACAAATCAAATGAATCTGATGAACCTGATAAATCAGATGAATCTGGTGAATGTGATATATCTGATAAATCTGGCGAATGTGACATATCTGATAAATCAGATGAATCTGATGAAAAACCAACAACAAGTGTTAAAGGGTAAGATTTATTTATTATTTCCAATAAAATAATAACTTTTTGTTTTTAGTATTCCACGGGTAGAAAAAACGGCAGAAGATGAATTAACTGAGATGGAAACCGGTTCTGAAGCTCATTCTATGTAAGTGAATTTTATCTATCAGAATTTTTTTATTCATATTATTGAATAGGATAAAAGAAACAAAAAATCCTGCAACTATTTTTATCTGTAACAAATGTAAACAACATTATGATATCAAAAAATAATATTTTTTAAGCGGTTTTACACGGGAATAAATTTATGTACTTGTAACCAACAACGTAAATATTTATTTTCATGTATTCCTATGTATATGTAACCGTATTTTTATAAGAATAAAGATATAATAAATCATCATCATATACTCTTTTCGATAACGATGCATTTCAGAAAGTTGACCAATAAAAGGTATGCATGGTTCACCACTGATTTCTTGTGCATGAAATATACCATATACACTTTTTCCAGGACGAATTAATTTGAAATAGATAATAGAAAGTATAATAAAAATAATAATCACGAGCATATAAAGTAAAATTTATAACATTGTATCAATAAAAACAAAATATTATGATTAATATTATTCTGTTTTTCTACTGAATGAAACATCAATGGCGAAAAAGAAATATTTTTCTATATCTTGCAAATTATTTTTCTTTATATAACAGTGTTGTTTTGAATAGAGGAGTGAAAGAAAAACAATGCATGAATAAAGAATCATTTAGCGATTGTTTCATCCACGTCTTTTAATGTGTATATTTCCTTCATATACACAAAGTTATAAAAAACTTTCTGACATCATGAATATGACAAGAAAGTTTTTGACTATATGTTATTTTATATTGCAATTAAAGATAATTTAATTCTTCGTGATCTTCTTACCAAACAAATAACACATCTTAATATCGATATTAAAACGACAGAAAAAATATGTTCAAAAACTTCTTCAAAGATTTTTGCATTAATCTTATCTTTATGTAAAAAATTAATCGTTTTGAATTTTTGTGATATGTTTCCTACACAAAAGTATTGGGGTACTTGTTTTTATCTACTATGGAAAAGTTATAGGCCTTCAACTNTTCTTTTCTGTTGACATTATCAATTCAAATGAATGTCGTTAAGTACATAGCTCCATTGTCGATAAAACCATTCACAGACGCAAAAACACACTAATTAGTTTCAACAAATTGATTCGGCAATACATGACTTGTATTGTGTAAAAGAAGTTTAGGACAGACAAAGAATTTTGTGTTAACTTTATTAATGCCATTTGATTAGTCGAAATTTATTTCTCATTCATATGAAGAAAACAAAATTCTAGCTAAGCATTCTCGATTTATAATAATTTTCACGATAAAATCATAGTTTTTAAAGAAAATGTAGTGAGTGAAAGTTTAAATAGAGGTTTTTACGGGTTTCTTACCTTTTATAGGCCCTAGCAACTGGGGGGAGGGGGGGGGGGGGGGAGAGGGGCCAACGATTATTAGTTATGTTTGCCGAGTAACGTCAAAAGGTACATTAACAACAGTGCTCAGATCATTCTAGAATTTTCGAAAACATAAGATTTCAGAATGCGTGTAGTAACGAAAATTTTTTTTATAATTTTGACATATTCAATCATTTGGCAATTTTTTAAATAAGTTATTTTAATGTCGCTGGTTATCATAAATTTATAATAGTCAGAATTAATGATTTCCATGTTTCGACTTTTCACTGGACCCCAATAATAAGTTTTTTTTTTTTTTTTTCATAAACGACGCTTTTTTTTCTACCTGCATCTTTATTTTTTACATCAGAACATTTCGAGAAATACCTTATTGATAGACGATAAAATGATGTACATGATAGTATGGATTTAAAATAGACTAAAAAACAAATTTTGATAAAGCTATGAAAATTTCACAATACCGATAACAACAATTGGATAGACTTATGTTGATATGGTTATTATTGATATTTCAAAGGTTGATAAAAAATTTATGATTCTATTCTAAATCATACCATCATATCAAGTGTTTTCTTGTTTGCAAAATGACGCATTTTCCAAATTGTTCACTGTAAACTAATTAAATAATTAAATTTAAAATAAGAACTTGACTGCTCAGAAAAAAAACAAGCAGATCAGGAACTTTTTTGGTTTAAAAATTAAAGATTTTTTCAGAAAAGTAATTAAAAACGTAGAAAACTGTGGTAAACAAAATTTTTTTCCATATGAATAGGGAATAGACTTCGAATTATCGACTGGCACTCATAATATTAATGTAATATTCTTTCTCTCTCTTAAATTTCTTTTGCACAATAAAAGTTATTAATATTCAAATAATGTTTGGAGTTGGTAAATGACTCAATGTAACAACACAAAAAAATGACAGACGATGAATATTAAATCAATTTAGACTCACTGCGAAATACGTATAATATGAAAATGTAGTTGAGTTGTTTAACAACTAAAATTCTGTTACAATAAATGGATTTATAAAAAGATCTATATGTGAAACAAATAGATTAACTATTGATATTGGCACAATAAGTTAAAGAAACTTTGTATTAAAATCATCATTGTTAATTGTTTATCTAATTGACTTTGAGCTAGATATACTGTTGAAGAGGTCAATTGTTGCACATTAAATCCTTCAACATGAAGTATTTTTCAACAATGGTTTTATTTATTTTGAACGGTATTGAACTACAATAAAATATATTACGATAATGTTCTACAAGAATTTTATTTTTGCATCTTCTTCAGATGACTTATCTATTTCGTTTGTCGATTGTCATAATTTTTTCCAATTAAAATTTTAGTGCGTTGATATTCTGTATGATTATCATGTGCACAGTTTTTACTACAAATTTAGAGGTTTTTATGTTCTACGCAAGGAATTCAATAACATTTTGATGAATAAATAAAAACCAAGTTTTGTCGTCTACTACAATAATAAATATCTCATGTTGATAGATAAGAAATATATATGTATACATAAAAGTGTAGGTTTTATCTGATAATAGACTCTATTTTTCCTTTTTTTTTTTTTGCATCTCTTCATGTGACAGAAAAAACTAAATAATAAATATGTGGTTTATATTAATATTCGTTTTCTTTGTACCTGTTATTTGTGAGTATGACAAAGAATCATCGACAAACTCAGTTAATTCAAATCATTTTAAATCAACCTTCCATATATTGAATAACACATTATTTAATGAGGAACTCACAAAAGATTTACCACCGACTATGGTAGATTTTATAATGGCTTTTAAAGATCCAAAATCAGATCAATTACCATTATATCTTCGACGAAATGATCATAATGAAGAAATAGTTACTGCTTATGATTTCATTATAGATCTTACACGACCTACTGATATTTTTCAAGGTCTTAAAGCATATCCACTAATATTTCCTAGAGGTAAAGAAGTATATGATAATAAAATAAATGATCAACAAAGTCAAAGTAGATTTATGGTTAATGTAGTAGGACGTTATAATGTGGGAAAAACTTATGTATTAAAACTTTTAGCAAATATGAATTTAGGACATTCATTTACTGAACGAACAAATGGTATTAGTGTAGCATTACCTTCATCAGCAGTTACTCATAATGCACCAATGGCTTTAATTGACACAGCTGGTACACGTACTCCAGTTATATTTGATAATAATGATTTTCATTATCGATCATATGAACGTCAAGTTAGTGATTCATTTATACAAGAAATAGCTTTTAATTCAGCAGATATTTTTGTATTAGTTGTTAATCAATTAACACTTGATGATCAACTTTATTTAAAAGCACTTTATAAACGATTACATGTATGTAAATAAATTTAATATTGTTCTGAATTATAGCAGCAAAATTTTTTTTTTCGATATTGCTGAGTTTTGAAATTATATTTGAATTATTGAAGATATTCGCTATTAAAAATAATAGTTCTCAAGATATTGAAAATGAATATTTAAAATAAACAATGTTCTCTTCGATATTTTTCTTGAATAAAAAAAAATATTAAAATACAACGATTCACTTTCATTCTTATACATCACAATGATAGACTTTCATAAGCATTAATGACTATCATGGACTATAAAAAAAAACAAATAATCTTTTCGTGAAATGTCCTTGGATTGAGATATAATATTTGAGATGAATTCATATAAACACTATTTACGAGAATATAGTTTCTTCTTGAGATATTTAAGTCTCATAAAACAGAAAATTCTAGCATTATCAACTTTAATATGGCAGAAAGAAAATATTTTTTCCAACTGAAATTTTTAGAACATTCTACCAACAGATAGATTTATTTGGGGACAAAATCTCAGATTAGAATATTATCATTCAAATTTTCTGGTATATACCATGCCCGAGGCAAAAATGCTTATAACCTTGGACAGAAGGTTTAAGAAGAATTATGGGATTAAGCGTAGATGTGAAGGAAGTAGCTGTAAATGTGTGTGCTGATCTGGATCTTGTCTTCATTTACACCCACACTCACATCCCTGTGAGAAAGTGTCCTGACGAGTAAGCGCCCTACATCCGCTCTTCCAGTGTTAGTGAACTATACATGACAGGAAAATTGAACAAATCTGTTGTGCAAACACTTTTCATACTTGAGTATCATGAATCGTAAGAAAAAGTGACTATGCTATTAAGAATGATATTGTCTTGTATCAGCTATATTTTCACAAGTGTTCTTCTTTTTATTTCGCACATATTATATAGAAGAAGAAAGCGGTCATGTATTAAAGATAAACCATATAGAAAACTAATCAAAGTCAGTCATAGACATAAACAAATTGATTCTGTTCACAATCTCGACGTGAACGACAATGAAACTTGAACAGTATTTCAGAACAATTTCAAGTTCTATGCTAACTAAATTTTACTGAGTCTAATACCAATAGGAAATCCTTTTTTTTGGATTGAAACCATCTAGCTCAAATCTGAATAGGGATTTTAATAGCGACTTCGTAGATAATCTATAATGATAAGGCTTCTAAAAAATTGAACACAGTTGTTTTCAAGTCTCAGAAGACTTTGTTGAAGCTATATTTTAACAATGATGTTTTAAAGAGCATAAAACTCTAAAAAAAAACTAAGGAATCATCATATTTTCTACGTCCTTCTCTCGAAAAATGAATGCTCTTTAAAAGGGTATTGTTAAAAAATAACTACAAAAAAGTCTTCTAAAATCTGAGAACTATTATGTTTGGTTTTTTAGAAACTTAGCCATCGTATTTCATCTGTGAAATGTTTGTATATAATGCATTAAATAGAAAACTCCATGGTCTATTAAAATCATAATCTGAATTTGATCTAGATGCTTAACATTATAGTAAAAAATACAAAATACGTTGTTGTGAAACCTTTTTCGACTACCTTATATTTAACTTATATTTAGGATAAAGGCTTAAGACCAAATGATATAAAACAACAATTGTTAATTGTTCATAATTATTTTAATTTGCATTTAATATCTGAAATTGAACAAGTGGAAAAAAGTGAACTGATTGGAATGTTTAATGCCAAAAAGCAACCACAAGGTTTTTGGTTAAGCAAAGATTTTAAACATTTTATTTTAGCCAATAGTAATGGTGAAGCTGGAAAAAAATATAATGATCGAACAATTGAACAATTACAAATAATGATCAAAGGATCACATACAGGATTAGAAAAAGATGTTTTAAAAAAAATAATAAAAGAAACTGAAAAACTTCTAAGTAAATTTCTTGTTGATCAAACATCAAATTCTAATACACATGATGAAAATATCAATTCAAATATTTTTCAACGTACATCAAATTTTATTCTTCGATTATTTTATGATCCAAAAAATACAAAAGAAAATTTAAAAATAGAAAATAAACATAAAATTAATATTCAATTAGATATAGAAAAATGGGAATCAGATGTTGATCATAAAGTTCCTCTATGGTTTATTTGTTCACAAGAACCACTTTCTGAAAATATAGTTTTATCAAAAAATTTAAAATTTAATGAAGATGGTTCAGTTTATATTGATTATTCATCAGATTTTATACCTGATCTTCATGTTGCACAATTAAACGAACAAGGTGATATTCAAATACGTATTGAATGTCCATCTTGTTCTCCAAAATATAAAATTCAAGTTCGAGGAAGTTCATTATTTATTAGTAATGAAAAACCTATGGAATCAATGATAAAAGATTATTTAAATACACGTCGTGCGGGTAAATTTGAGTTAGAAGTACCTGTTGGAAACTTTGAAAAAGATCGAACATTTGATTATAAATCGATTACCACAGATTTTAAAGATGGTGTGATGACAATTACTGTACCAGTTATGGAAGGTATAGATCTAAGGAAGTATCATATATATTTATGTATCTTATTTTTTATTTTATTTTAGATATTACAGTCATTAACACAGAGCTTTAGATAACATTCATATTTTTATAGTAAACAGTTTTATATGTTTATAATAAACTAGACATAATTTAACTACGTACATTGGTCTATTTCTATTAATGAATAATCAGAAGTGCGAGCGTGGGGTAGAGTTTGTCGAATTGATCACGAATTCGATCGAGTCTTTGTCTGAAAAGTTTAGATTCGATCAGCTCTAGCTGTCCGACAAATATGCAAGGTACGTTAGTCACCGAATCTAAAGTTAAACCAAAAAAAAAAGCATCTCGTATCGTCTGAGCAGCTATTCAATCCGAGTAGAAAACTTCATTGAGAATATAAAAGTACAGTTTAATTTGATCGGAATCAAGGTCTGGTTTCGGAAATTTTGGACTCGACAGCCTCTAGTATGGGATAGTGCGTATGTGGCTATGGAATATTGGCGAAGAGAAGACTAACACCTACATTTTTTAATATAAAAACTTGTGACTTATGCATCATTGATAAAAAGCGTTATTCATATGTTTTAATACACAGATGATAATTATACCTTTTGTATTAAACAAATTAAGAACCTACGTCTGTTCTTTCTACAATTTGATAGAGAAACTCCAGGACAGTGCTAAAGTGTATCAGAAGTGACCTGCCCTCAATATTTTCATGCAGTTTTTATTATCAAATTCTAATAAGAACACAAAAAAGAGCAAGAGATTTACATCTCAATTAATAATCACAAATAAATATATATTCTGTTATAATATATATACAAGTAAATATTTCGTAAACTGTTATGTCAAGTTATTAAGTTTAACTATTATCAGAGTTAAAGTAAATAGTGATAAAATATCAAATCTGACTGCATTAATTTGTACTATGCAATCATTCAGTTATGTAATATAGAAGGGTTTTACTGTTCACTTTTTATTAGTCAGTTAAATTAATCATTGAGATTTTCTCGTAACACTTTTTTCTATGATAGATTGCGTATGCATATGAACTTCTCAAACGTGTCAACAACTAGAAAGTATCTAACTTCATGTTTTCTGTTTCTTTTTCTTTTTCTTTTTGAAACAAAGTATTAATTTATTTTTGACACCTTTGAAAATGTTTGTGATGAGTCAAAAGCTATAGGCTCGAACCAAAAATTTAAGCTCTTTTCAAATGTTGACGTTGAAAAGTTGTCTCACTTTTTGTTCAAAATTAATACGATCAATTTTGAAAGACTAAAACAAAAATAGTTCGAACAAAAAAGAATGCCTATAGCTTCACTTGAATAAAAGTGACAACTTAGTGCAATATATAACATTTTGTAAGAAAAAGTGCGCACTCGATAAAATCAATAGCTCCGATAACTTTTAATACTTTTGAAAAGAGGCTTTTAAGAGTTGCAAACAACCTATTGATTCACTTTACAATCTGATTTTTAACTCAATAAAAAAATTCCCTCACTTTTCTTGAATAAAAATAGACACAATATGTCTAATACTATACAGAATGAGAACACGAAATTCTGATCATCACCTTTAGTTGTTGGCTTGTCTGCTACACTTTCACGCAAGCTAATATGGGTAAACATTAGAAGTGGAAACTTCAATTCATATGTTCTGTCCAAAATAATTCTTTTCGTCTTTTAAAGATTGCATCATTAGTCTCTAACGATAGCTGAGCTGATGAGGAAACATTTTCAACTGAATAGTCGTCTTGAAATTCGAACTCTGTGCACAGGCTAGACTACAGTAGGATATGAAAATCGGGAAAGCGAAAATTGATCGAACGAAAAATGGTTGAACGAAAATTAGTCGAAAATTTTGTAATAAAAGAACAAAAACTTTTTCCTAAACAGAAGCTTGAACTCTGACCTGTATCTTGAGGATGAGGAGAAGGGTGAGAGTGAGGGTGAAGGCGAGGCTGAGGCTGAAGCTGATGTTGAGGATGAGGAGGGAAAGTAGGCGTATTCTCAAGACAGGAAACATTACTACAATAATTAGAAGAAGTTGCTCATAATTTCTAAACTACTATTCCTTTTTTTATTTGTCTAACTTATTTGTCTGAATCACTATTATTCTCTAATACTAGCATATTAATATAATTAGTGTTTATTTTGCCTGCACACTTCAAACTTCGAGCTTCTGTTTTAGAAAAAGCTTTTGTTCTTTTATTACAAAATTTTCGACTAATTTTCGCGTCGACCAATTTTCGTAGAACCGTCTGTGAACACAACCTGAGATCGAAATATCGTCATTCGATTTGTTGGTAGATGCCATGTCGAAGCTAAAATTCTAGTTAAATACGTATATGTCGAGACAGAACATCCGAGAAGACATCCTTGTGAGGCTTTTCATATTTCACTGTAGTCTACTTTATACACAGAGTCCAAATTCAGAAGTGATTGGTTAGTTGAAAACGTTCCGTCGTGAGACAAGTTTTCAGCGTCAATATTCGAAAAGAGTTCAAATTTTTGGTTCTAACTCGTAGCTCTTTGATTCATCGCAAATATTTTCAAGGCAATCAAAAATAAGCAGATATTTTATCTCAAAACTTTTGACTCACCCATTATCACACTTAATAAATAAAAACAACGATGAAATGAAAAAAAAAAGAAATATTTCTTCTTGTTCTTATAAAACATTGAGAAACAAAGATAATCATAATGTAAGATATAAAAAACATGCACGTATAATACGAGAATTTTTCAAATATTATTCTCTTAGAATAATAATGAATGTAATTTTATCTTCATAGATTTTTCTAAAATATTGATAAATATGTTTATTTTTGTTGTTCTCTCATTGATTATCTTTTCAACGGATGCATCTGTTCGTATCATAGATGATTGTCAATTAGTAATTGTTGGTGGATCAACTGCAGCATTAGGTGCAGTTCTGTCTGCTTCACAATTACTCAATAAACATGTATGTTTACTTGAACCAACTGATTGGGCTGGAGGACAAATGACAAGTGAATTATTAAGTGCACCTGATTTTGCTGGTTATAAATTAACTGATAGTAGTGGATTTACACTTGATGTTGGAACTATTAATCTTCAATTAGAAAATCGAAATCCTTTATTTACAAAAATGTTAAATACACTTGGAAATACTGGTCTTTGTTCTGTATCGCCTATTTGTTCTATACCTGATCAATTTCATTCTCAAGTTGTTTTACCTTTAATAAAAAGTCTTCGAATTTTTTATAATACTGTTATTAAACGTATTGATAAAGATAAAAGTGGTCGTCGTATCACAAAAATTGATGCTATTCAAAGAATATCGATTGAAAAACAAAATCGATGTCGATTTTTATCTGAAGAATTACCTGATTGGTATTCATATGATAATAGTTCATGGTTTAATAAAAGTAAATTATCATTTATTAATATGTCATATGTTATTGAAGGAAGTTCATGGGGTGAAGTATTAGTTTTATCTAATGCAAGTTTTATTCAAGGTATTATGGAAGAATTTGATGGTGATATATCTGGTAATGGAAATTGGTCATGTGGTCAAATGTTTACAATAGATTTTCTTGAACAACTTCGAGAAAAACCTGTAGATGAACCACCTAATCCATTACCTGAACCAAGTGGTGGAGGTAAATATTCATTATTAGGTCGTCCATGGGAACGTGCATGGACTTATCGACGTGTTAATACATCATCAACTGATATAAATATTGTTGCTGTTAACGATACAATTATTCAAAATCGTGTGAGAGGAAATGATTATGGAAGAAAATTTTTTTTCTTATCACCAACTGAAGCAAAACGTCATCGTGATATTGGTATATGGAGAGGTGGAGTTAGTTTAGAAGCATTAAAAGGTAGTGAAGAACAATCCTATGGTTGGCATTATTGGTTTCGTGCAAATGCACCAATCGAATGGACTAATCGAACTATATTTGTTAATTCATCATTATGGACTGGTACTTGTCATGGTTTAGCTAAAATGCCTTATTTACGTGAATCTCGTCGTTCAATTGGAATAAATAATTTTCTTATGAATATTTCAACAATAAATGGAAATGCATCGGATTTACATGGATATATATTTCATGATCGTATATGTCTTGGTGCATATGATGTTGACATTCATAGAATGAAATTATGTCAATATCCTTCATATATTCGACAAAATTATTCTATTCTTCCATATTATATTCCTTTACGTGCAATGACGAATCGAGATATTGATAATTTGATTGTTATTGGAAAAACAATGGCACAAACATTTCTTGTGAATGCAGCAACACGTTTACATCCAGTTGAGTTTTCTAATGGTCAAGCAGGTGGTATAATGGCAAGTTATGCGATTCTAAATAATTTAGATAGAGTTGATCAGATGCTTGAAGAACAACATCTTACACGTTTACAAGCAATAATTAAAACATTTACACCATTATCATGGACGATCAATGGTGCTCGTTATCCCAATGATTAACTAAATTTCATTTTCTGTAATTCACGAATAGCATATAGAATTATGAAAAAGATTTCAGAAAAAAAAGAGAAGAAAGATTTTACTCATATTATGTCTAGTTATTTCTCGCTAGCATAATCTTGAAGACTTCCTAATACAACTTTGCAAGGTATCAAATCAAAGATTTGTGAGAAAGTTTACAGAAGATCTCTGCAGATTTGAAAGTCAGTTCAAATAGTTTCCAATAATGAGATAAAATGTCTTTGAAAATCTGATGAGTACTAAAATCGATTGCTATATTCGTTTGTAGAATAGTTTCAGTTTGTTTTCAGTTTTTACACATTGAAATTTTCTTTGTACAAAAAAAGAAGGTTTCACTTTTTCAAGAATGCTTTACACCAAAGTCATCTACGGAGTCTCATCTTATTTGACAGATTACTTCATTTAAAAGTTAATTCTCAGCGGACCGACGGCTAGACTACTTGCAGGCACTGATAAAAGTCTTTGCGATTTCTAAAAGAGAATTATATCTTTACAATCTTTGTTGTCTCATATACTTTTACAAACACAAAACAAAATAGTGAATGTATGGCTGCATTCGTGCATAAATTCTGCAGGAAGCCACTAGGGATACCCAAACATGTATGTTCACCTCCTCAAAGCAAGATCTAACTGGAGATATCATAGAAAATCAATGGCGAGTTTCTGGGTATTTCACGTGTTGTCGGAACTTACTAAGAGTTTTTTTTATGATAATTCGCTAGTGACTCAGTAATGATTCTTCGATTTTCGAGGAATTTATCGAGTAGTGATGGCGCTAGTGGTATGTTTAGCTCATTCGAAACTTGATTGAGTCCACTCTGGAAAGTTTTTAGCAATAGAATTTTTCAGACAGTTTTCTAATCAGATAAACAAGATCTAACGAATCTAAAATGATCTGTTGTAACTAAATCGAAATTTAAATCAAAACTATATCTAACGTACTTCCATTTTCCAATGGTGTCTGAATGATAAGGATCATAAGAACTACACTGATAACATTAGCTACTTGTGGAAGAAATATTTCTGACATCAATTTTAATCACTAGAGACTTTTCGCGGTAATCGCAAAAATAGTAGCATATGATTTTTCTTATGTTTCACTGCTTATTTCTTTTTATAATACATACAGTGTTAAATAATATTGTGTACTTAGCAATGATCGAGTGCACTGAGAGACATTTGAATCGATTAACTACAGATGTGAGAAGTGAATTAAGATCGAGTGTGACTTTGTTATTTCGTATAACAGCTATTCACCCTATTTTTAGTATTAAAACAAAGTTTTAATTTCCGTTTTTTGAACGAAAAAATATAACTTTTTTCGTCTTCTACCGATCGTAAAGCTGTTACGAGAGCTTATTCTATTCCGACAAGAAATACTGATATCGTTGCTATCATCAAGAATTTCTACTACAGATTCTACTAGGTATTGTTAATTAGTTTGTCCAAGAAAATCAAATATAATCGAAGTATGATAGCAGTGAAAATTTTCGTTTATTTTTCAAAATATTTTCCTCTGAAAATGTTCTTCTCCGATTCATGAATACATGATTATCTTTAAAGTCAAGTAAAATAATCGATACTATTCTATGCAAATATTTGATTAATCTTTTATATTTACATAATTTTTAGAATGAATAGACTTTTTAAAATCAGCGACATCTTATTGCAATACACTCTTTTTGAATTTTTGTTGTAGTCAACAAATGAATCAATAGCAACAATTCAATATGAAAAAAAACAATCTTTCAAAGAATGCGAAAAATTCTTGAGACGTAAAAGAAAAAATTTCCAAATTTGATCATTTTGATTTGTTTAATTAAATCGATCTATAATAAATGAATTATGTGTTTAGATTGAATAAAAAAATGGCTTCAAAACAGTTTGATCAACTAAAACAACATAATACTCGATTATCAGATATGATTAAAGAACCAACACGAATGCTACCACCAATAAAAGGATTTGAAAATCTTGATCTTGTCTCATTAGAAAAAGCTGTTGAATCTCTAATTTCAATCGTTCCTGAAATCGATCAAATGATTTATGTAGTTACACAAAATTGTACTAATCCTAAAGATGATCTTACTCCTGATGAATCGGCTTCAATAATGCTTTATTCAATGGAATGGACGTCAAGAGATGATTCATTTTATTTTATTCTAAACAAAACCCTTCGTTCAGAAAATCGTCAATTATTAAAACCATGGTTTCTTTATTTACGCTTATTTATTCATTCTCTTTCAAAACTTCCATCAATTGCAGGAAAAGCTATTTTTCGTGGAATAAAAATGGATTTAAGAAATGATTATCCTACAGATAAAGAATTTGTTTGGTGGGCATTTTCATCATGTACAAATCAAGTAAGTGTTTTAGAGAATGAAGAATTTTTTGGTAAAACTGGAAAACGAACATTATTTGTAATTGAATGTGATTCTGGAAAAGATATTCATAATCATTCACTTTTTCCAACAGAGAACGAAATTTTACTTATTGCTGCAAGACAATTTCGAGTTATTGCTAATCTTAATTCGGACAATGATCTTTATATAATTCAAATTAAAGAAATTAAACCTCCTTTTCCTTTTATTTCATGTTCACCTATGATACCATCAACAATGGCGTATCAAAATAGAAAACTTGAAGATCGTATTAAAATATGTCCAATGCATTCGGAAATAAATTTAAATCAACAGAATTTAACTGATCAAGACATGAATATCGTCGTACAGGAAGCGATCATCAATAAACGATGTAAAAAACTTTCATTAGAAAATAATATAATAACATCACAAGGTGCAATAACAATCGCTAATGGACTGAATAATAATACAACATTAGAAGCATTGATACTCTATCATAATCATTTGTCTGATTTAGGAGTTCGTCATTTATCAAAAGTTCTTTCAACAAATAGTTCTAATCTAAAAATACTTGGTATTGGTTCAAATAGTATTACGGACAATGGTATACAATATCTTGCTCAAATGCTTAAAAAAAATCAATCATTGATTGTATTAGGACTTGTTTTTAATGAAATTACTGATCAAGGTGTTCGATTATTAGCTGATGCACTTTCTCATGATAATCAAACTCTTCAATTTTTACATCTTTCTAAAAATAAATCGATTAGTAATTCAAGTTTTGAATATCTTAATCAAATGCTTAAACGAAATCATTCATTAAGAGAACTTTGGATGCAGAATTGTAGTTTATCTAATGATATCAAACAAAATTTACGACAAAGTATCAGATCAAAAACTAATTTTCGTTTAGAATTGTAACAATAAGAATAACTATTTATTTCATACTCACACATGATTGTCTTTTTTTCTCCATTTTATTTCTCAATAAATCAATTGATTTGTAATTTGCTTTTTTTCTATTGAAAAGAATGGTATAAGCTATAATAAGCTTATATTTTATGATTTTAACTATGAGAGGAAACAAAGCTCGCAGTCTATACTTCAATACTTCATCTAAATCATATTTTACAAAATCTTGATGATAGGACTTTTCGTCACATGAACAAAATGTTGTAATACCTCTTAATACTATATATTTGTATATCAGTAAACGATGTTGTAAAATATGATGTAGATAAATAACGTAACAATATCATGATGTGAAACACGATCTAAAAGGAGTGTTGAAGTATAGAGGTAGAAATTTTGCCCCTCCTCCTTTCCAGTGAACCATGGCAGACACCCTGGGAATTCATTACAGACTGTAACAGATGCCTTAATAGTGTCATTACTCTCCGTCACAGGTCATGACAGACGTTGTTGATATACAATCAAAGAACGCGCATATATCAATAGCATCTTGTTATAATATATGGATTACTTCATTATAGTATTCTTCAAGAATTAAGCAAAAGGATGATCAAGGGCATGGCCACGCATCGGTCACTCTCGCATTGGGAGGATTCTAAATCACAAAAGTGAAGAATATTGTCTCGACAATCAAAAGTGCAATATCAAAAAATTATCAGATATGTTGTAAACTATGAAATACACAGCAGAGAAGTGACATAAACTCTATTTTTCGTCCGAGAGATCTCAAAAACGAGATATATTGACTAATTTCGCCAAAAAACTATAATTTTTCCCATTGCATTTTTTGTTTCAAAAATAGATAGAAATTCTAATGTGATTCCATTATGAGAATAAAACTAACAAACTGAAACGATAAAACTGTCTTGTACTATTCGTGGATTAGAGAGAAGATGAATTTTTATCGTGACAGTTTGAAATGTTAAGTTTTCAAATTTTCCTCTTTAGAACGTCAAAAAAAGACGAAATTTCGTAACGGATGATATTTGAAATCTTCTATTTGATGAAATCAGGCTCGATCAGAAATAACTTGATATTCTAACAGCTTGTTAAAAACTGAACAAATTTTGAATACAACGTTCATTTGAAATTTGCTTTGTTTCGTACAAAAATGCTTAACTCTTAGTTATCCGAAAAAATGAAACTCCGGCTCTGTCTGAGTATTCAAGATTTATCATTGTTTAAATGATCAATTGATTGACTTTGTGTTTTAACGATTTGTCCTTCAATTCTAATTATTTAGATATAGCTTTATTTTGAAAGGTAGCTATAATCGGCGGTTACAAAGAAAGAAAACCCAATTTTCCTGAGAATTTGCTTCTTCACTTCTGGTGAAAGCTCCTCTTAAAAATTTCGAAAATTACAGGTAGTCCTACAGATAAAAATTTAATTCTTCTTCAAGAAGTTATTTGAAAATGAAAAATTCAGCTGTTAAGTTGTAAAGCGCAATTTTCTCTTCAGATTAAAATCAATCCGAGCTCTCTAAGCATGTCCAATGGCTAAGAAATCTTTCAAATGACAACAGTGAATAACTGCAAAATTCATCTCGAGAATATTGTGAAATGAATTTTGACGTTGAAAATCAAGTTTACTTTCGCTATAAGATCCTAAAAGAAACATGATGGTGGGGAAGATGTTCAACAATTGATGATGTATATTTGCTGATATATGAGGCTTATATTCTCCAGATTACATGCCTATACTACATCTAAAAGGATTTTGATGAGTGAAGCATTCAAAACCACCTTTGGATTATGAAATTTATCACGGAAAAACTTGTGAAACCCTCAGACAGCAGTGAATGCTAATGCATTCGAAATTAAAAATATTGAACTACGAAACCATGAATGAACATCGAAAACTGTCAGTGTAGACAAAAAGAAGAATTTGTGCTGAACGAAAGGAAAGAGTTTAAGAGCATTGTTTCAACATTCTTTTATTCAGTAGCGTCCAGAATATTAATTTTCGAATGTCTTTTACAATAATTAGACTTATTTTATTGAAAATAAATAAATGGTATATTTATAAGATGGTTGTTTGTTTTTCTTTTTACAATTATGTTCGACGAGCAACTAGAATTCAATTTATTTATGTTAAAATATTTTATAAAGCGTACATATGAATATGTGTAGATGATGCACTGAGAATTCTATTAGTATGCGTTGATGTTTTGTTCGATTGTAAAAAGGTTGCGAAAATATAAAATTAAAGTAAAATTTACTTACACGATTACATAGAGTGTGACGAGCTGATCAAGAATACGTGTGTTCTCAGTTTTTTTGAATGCAGTTTTAGATAAAAATTTCTTTTTTTTTTCCAGTGACCTATTTTTTCTGAAAAAGAGGTCACTTTTCAATAGCCGACAAAATGTAATTTTTCTTTGTTTTCTTCAAATTTTAAAACTGTTTTGTTTTAGATTCAACAGGAGGAACTAAATCTAGGCAAGTCATTTATAAATGACTTTTCTAAATTTCGTTTTTCAAGTTGAATGTAAAGCAAATATTTTTGAAATTTGAATAAAACAAAAAACACTTACAATTTGCCGGTTATCTAATATTGACCTATTTTCTTCAGAAAAAGTAGGTCATCGAAAAAGAACTGAAACTTTGCTTACGAAAACTCATTCTAAAAAAAGAAAAACACTTACATTCTTGATCGATTTGTCACGCTCTATCTAAACCGTATTAAAAAAAAAGAAAACTCTGCTCTAATTTTGTATTTTCGGCAACTTACATATCAATCACTGCAAAACGACGATGGTATTGTTTTGTTTTACTTTCTTCATATAAGCTAAATATATGTAACATGTATCAAACTATTGTTTTCTATCGTTAAGAATTGAAAAGAAAAAATTGTTTATATAAAATAGCATGCAGCGCGCATCGTGGAATATTTTCATGTTGGCATAAGTGATGAAACCATTGTATTGATGAGTTATTGATTGTAAGAAAAAGATTAACTCAATCTCAAATGAAGTTTCATTTTTTAAATACCTTAGTTATCTTTATTGATAGATTAATATCACAAACAATCCGACAAATGAATTACTTTAAAAGAACCATATTGAAATGCTGAGAAAATGACGTTATTAACTTAACGTCATCGTTCACGCTTTTTCGTCGCGCTCAAAACTCGATTGATACCTTCAGAGTTAAATATTATTTCTAGACCTTTTTCTTCATATAACCTGATAATTTGAAAACAGATGCATCCGTTAATCAATTGGCCGACTAAGAATAAATCAATTCGTTTTGAAGAACTTGATAAGAAATTAGGAAAATCTTCAAAAAATATGTTTAAAAAGAACTTAATTCGTCATCTGTAAAAACTAAAATAAAAGATCTATGAAATGATTATTTCATTGTATGATTCATAAGTTTTTATGATATAAAACCGTAACTATCTTACTAAAATTTAATGAAATTTGTCATGAAAATATGGACTTGTGTGTATTTTTATTTAATTTTCTCAAGATGAGTATCCAACTAATTTTTTAAGTATATTTTATTAATTATTCAACTAAATAATGAACTGATACAATTAGGAAAGTAATATTTGAAAAGACATTGATAGCAGCATGAAGATTATGATTGTAGGTGAGGTGTGCAAATCTTCTCATCAGCCAAACCCACACTGTGACCGAAGAAAATATTAGATATTCTTATATGTTTCATTAATGACTTTTTTTTTCTTATTTCTTTTTTACATAATAAATTTTCTCTTGATTATACTTTCTTCCTTCCTACGCTCGATTCTACTTTGCGGACATTTTTCCTTATTTAGCCAAAAAAAGTGTACGCAATCTTAATATAGCCAAAAAAATGTTCTAATAATTTCTCTTATATAGAACTATGTGCATTAATCATCTTACGATATTCTATTTTGTTTGTTTCCATAATGCGACTATTTTTGCTCTCACTCCTATCTCAATTCTACTTTACAAATGTTCTCTTGCTTTCAATTAAGAAAAAAAAAATGTGCGCAATCAAGAATACACGGATCGATTAAGAGGAAAAAATAGAGTTAAATTCAAAAGGGTGCAAAAAACTTTCATACAAAAATAAATCTTCTCATGTCCGTTTCACCTAACCACTTATTGACGAATCGATGATTATATAAGATAAATTTCCTACTCTTATGCTTCTGCTGTTGACTGCTAAAGTTGTCAAAGTCAGATTCAATAGCATATAATTGTATCGAAATAATAATTAGTCAAATACTGTGAAAGTAATTATGATTAGCAATGTCTCGCTAAGCTCGTGAATAGTCGCACAAAAAGAATCATATATGGGTACATTGATCAAATTGAAAATAAAAGTCGTATTTCAACAAAAAGAGAAAACATTGCTTTTAAAAAAAAAAAACTTTTCAATCATTATGTTCATCGATTAAAAAACTTTCTATTGTAATATTGTCTAATTCTTTAGAAATCAAATATACAATATATTTACCAATGATATATTATCTTTTCAAAAAATTCTTTAATAGTAATTAAAAGAAATAAAGCCACTCAGATATATTTTTCTTGTATCAAATAATATAAAAAGAACTTCATATAGTATGTTGTCATGCAAGTCACAATAACGTGGGCAGGAAAACAGTTGAAACATTTTGTTTTGAATATATTAAGTTGTTTATGGCTTTCTCTTTCTCAGTTAAAAATAACCAACGATCGAACACCAGGTACTCATTGATAATGCATATATATATATATAATGTCCTTCGAAACAATTTTCCGAACGGATAACTGTCATTTATAATAATGGAACTAAGGCGAGAAATTGATTTCAATTGAAGAAAATAAAAGACCGAGCGCGTTTATTCTTTCGTCTCGTTTTTTTCTCATAGTATTCAATTCACTTTACCATTAACTTCTTTTTTTTTTTCTTCTATTTAATGACATATTACGATAATGACAACATCAAACAACGCACCTAAAGATATTTAGAAAAAATAAAAAAAAAGAACAAACACATTCTTTCTTTTTTTTTTTTTAACCGTCATAAGTCATATCAAAACCAAGGATAACAATATGAGTAAGAATATGAGTTTTGTTGTTTTGTTATCTTAAAGACCTTTGGTTTTCGATAGATGGACGTTTAGAAAAACCATTGCCACCAGTAGTTGTAGATGCAAATCATCATTCAATTGAACTTCAATGGGAGAATGTATTAATTCAAGATAAAAAACGATCAGAAGAATCAAGATTATTTGATGAATCAGATTCAGCACGACCAGGTTCTTTAATTTATTTACATGGACGTGAGAAAAAAACTAGTTCATTTTGGGGAAGTATTTATACGTATGTCAAATACAAGAGTTTTTCTTTTTTGTGTTTAGTTTTGATTTCATTTATTTTCCTTTTAACATAATTAGAGGATCAGCAATGTCATATAAAATTGAAAATCTCAAAGCGAATACTCAATATGAATTTCGAATACAATGTAAATCTGGTTATAACGGTGGTGAACGTTCAGATTGGTCATCAATATTACAAACAGGAACAACACCAGAACCAATGACTGGTGAAACAGTTTTCAAAGCAATTGCTGTGCCTGGAAAAGAACAATTGGAAAAATTACTTCGAATTTTGTATGTTTTGTAACTTAATTCATTATTGAAAAAAACAAAACAATCAATTATTCGAACTTATGTTTTATAGAGGTTCAGATCATCCTTTATTAGAACGTCCAGATAAAGATGGAAATTTACCTTTAATGCATGCATGTACTAAATTTGATGTTGGGTAAATATTACTAAAGATTTCTTTTTTTTTTTTCGTCATCATGTGTTAAATATTTTTTCCATTATAGAAAAGTTGAATTATTGATTAAAGCTGGAGCAAATGTTAATAGTAGTATTGGTTCGGGCAAAACACCGTATGTCAATGTTTTTTTAATCATTTTTCAATCAATTTTTATAAATCAAATTTAGACTTATGGTTGCAGCTAGTACAGGTTTTCATAAAGCATGTGCATTACTTATTGAAAAGGGCGCAAATATTCATAGTATTGATCAAAATGGTAGTAAATAAAATCAAATAAAAACAAATTATTATTTAGAATTATTTTATCTAGGTACTTCTGTATTACATCATGCAATTGATAGTAAAAATTTTGAAACAATTGCTATTATAGTTCGAAGCTTAAATAATGATAAAGAGATTGAAATGAATAAGGAAGTTGGAATACATAAATGGACACCATTATATCGAGCAGGTAATTATATGCTCTCAAGATCGATAAATTATTTTTAGAAAGAATTTATTTAGTAATGCATGATTGTAATAAAGAAATAATTGAACTTCTTCTAAATCATGGTGCAAATGTTGAATGTGAAGATAAATCAACTGGTACAACAGCTTTACAAATGGCTGTTATTCGAGGCAATTTCCTAACAACACAATTATTAATTACTCATGGAGCTGACTTTAGAAAATTAAGCAAAGTATAGTAGAAAAATAAATTTTTATTTAAAAGACAAATACTTTTTTTAGGCTGGTGGAAAAACACTTCAACAATTGGCTATGTCTACTAATAAAATGGTAAGTGATAAAATTTAAGAATGATTCAAGAAGAATTAGAGTAGTTTTTGATTATCAATAATTTTTCATTTCTTTATCTCATATCATCTTCTTTTATATAAATTATTTGCATAATTTCATTGTAAAGAATATAAATAGATTGATCGAGTATCATAACATATCATCATTATGATGGAGATTTTAATCGTCAAGTCGAATATATTCGTTAAATAAAAAACATTCGTCAACACATCTAAATGTTCGATTAAATTTTCTATCAAAATGATAATATGTTGTTCTCTATTTTATAAACTGATGATAAGATCGTCCAAAATACAATAATATTTGATATAGAGATAAGAATTGTTTGACAATTTAACCAGTGCTTATTACTTTTAAAACACTATGTTTATATGTAAGAATATATATATTTTTCTTTGAATAGGATTTAATTAATTACGTCGATTCATTGCCGCCTGCTCCAAGAAATCAGTAATAAACTACTAGAGGAATTGTTTTCTTCTTACTTATCGAATCAAGATCACGTGTACTAAAACCTTTTTTTTTGTGTGCGATAAAAAGATACTCTTTTTCAAATAGAATCCTTCTAATCTACACTGATATATTTATGCAAATAAAAAAGTACATATTATTGTTTTTTGTTTATTAGTTTATTTGATAATATTGTTGCATTGGGTTTCATCTTCGAAATAATATTGCTGATAAATGCTGCTTTTGTTGTTTTTATTGTTGTTGCTGTTGTTGTTGTTGTTGTTTTTGTTGTTGTTATTGATGAATGACCAAAAAATTTAATTCCTGAACAAAGTTCTGGTAAAGCATAACGACTCCATTGTCCATTGGATTCACATTTCTTACAATGTGGTCCAAAAGCAAAAGCATATATAGCAAAAACACTTGATGGAGCATAAAGTGCACCACCATCGACTGGTTTTATTTCACCCCATTCACTAACTAAACGTGGATTAGCTCGTAATAATTCTGCATCACATCGAACTGTTTCACATACTGTCAATTGAGTCCAAAGACCTGTTAGAAGAAAAAAAAAATTTTAAAAGAAATTCTGTTATTTTTTTTTTTATTCTTTACTATCACGACAAGTACGACAAAATCGAAGTCCATCAGGATCTGAACGTCTTTCATAAACAGCTGTTGATAAATCAGGTACAGTTTCACGTGGATCATCATCTAAAAATTTTGTATGGTGATCAGGTTGTTCAATACGTAAACGACGAAATTCAAATGGAACAACCATTTGAGTTTCAAGTTGATCAAGTAATTTTAAAGGACATGGAGAAAATGTTTGATCATTAATTGAATCTGTTAAAGTTTTTTTTAATGATGAATGATCTATATTGATTAATGATGAGGATGAAGATTGTTTTAAATCAATATAAGATAATGGTATTGATTCTACAATAAGTTCTGGTAAAGCCAATGAACGTTGATGATCAAGCATACGTAAATTTCGAAGAAGTAATGATGATGATGCTGAACGATTATTTGTTAATAATGTTTCATCTTGAGGCCGTTGAATCATGTCTGTATCAATAATGATACATGTTGGAACTGTATAAACTTGATGTTCATAAATAAATTTTAGAAGAAATATTGCAAGATAGAAGAAAAACGATGACATGATTAGAATGAATGAAGTGAATGACTCGTGCAGTTTAATAATGTGAACGAATAAAGTGAGAGAGAGAAGAAGAAGAAGAAGAGCGAAAATAAAGGTATTAAGCTGTCCGATAACAATAGACGACAGAGATTAACTAACGGATAGTGTTTACCGATCGGTTCATGCAATCAATTGGTGCGAGACAACGATAAACGTGATGTTTAGCATCTAATCTCTTTTCACTTGTTGTTGTCAACGATAACAGAAAAGCTATCGATAAATCCGATAAGCGTTATGTCCTTTTTTTTTGTTCTCTGTTACTTATCGGGTATCGTATTTTTCGACTATTCATCAATCTGTTTAATGATGTTGCTGACAGATTGAAGAAGTTCTTTAGAGTTTGATAAGTTCTTGCAAATCTAACAAGAACTTCATTTATTGTAACAAGTTTTTAACAAAAATCTGAGACTAATAAAAGTCAGTATATTGCTTCACAAGAGTCTTCTCTCTGAAACTGCCAACATTCTTTTTTTGTAGAAACATTGCATCTGAAATTTTACTCGTTTACAAATCTTCTAATTTGTAAAAAAATTCAAGAAATAAATATTAAAATATTGGAATCTATGAATTGACAAAAATATGAACCTGAGCCCCAATCAGGAAGGATTCACATCTCCCAAAATGGCATACAATTATGATTTAATTTATAAGAACAAGATGTTCTCGATTTTTTTCCCTATAATATCAACTACCTAGTTCAAAATCAGATAGTGATTTCAATAGTCGTCGAAATTTTCTATTGAATTCATTATCTGTAATCAGATTTTGTAGATGAATCATGAGAGTAAAGTTTCTCAAAATACGGAAAAAGGTCATTTTCAAGCTTCAGAAGATTTTATGGAAATTATCGTTTTGTTTAATGGTATTATTTTAGAGCACCAAAAGCTGAATAAAATGACGAGTTGTTGCTTTTCATAAGAACTTCTTTTAAAAAGTCAAAAGCATCACAAACGACGATGAAAACAAAATTCATTCAATAGTCATTTTTCCAGTGAGTTTTGTTAGGTTAAATTTTGCCTTGCCTTGTTATGCATGTAAATGTTTAGGATAAAGTCATAAATAAATGCAATGACCTCCCATTTCTTTCATCGTTAAGTGCTTTTTAAGAGAGTACTAATAAAAATAATAATTATCACAAACTCGTCTAGAATCGGAAAATAACTTTTTGTCAGCTTTTTTTTTGAAAAACCCTACTCTCATATATAAAATCTTAGTATAAAACTTCAGCTAATAAAAAATTTCGTCAACTATTCAAATCATTTTCTCAATTTGATCTAGATACTGGCATGTAAAATAAATTATATAAAAATTAAAAAAAAATACGAAATCGATCATCATCAAAAACTAATCAAAGATGCCGAAACTTCATCAATTAGTCTGATTCTTTTTGATTGAAACCGATTTACAATTATGAAAAAAAAGTCCTTTTTAATCGCTTTCATCTACTTATAATTGATACCTTAATACTTATGAAATTGATTCTAATCAAAAGTTAGCAGAATAATCGACGAAACTTCGACATTTTCGATTTCTATTAGAATTGATTTTTCACATCAGTTATTGTTATATAGGCTGATGTTACAGAAAAAAAAAATATTAAAAAACAAATTTTTATAGATAAAAATTCAATAAATACTTTATCTGTATAATCAAAGTCACATTTCAATGTTATAAATTTTATTTAAAGTGTCGAAAAAAATTAAAAAACAAAATATCAGATAAATTTTGAAGATAATGCTGAAATAAATAAGAATCAAAGCATCAAAATTTTACTATGATTATACACATCGACTATTAATTAAGTTTTTTAGGTACAAAAATTTGTTTCTTATTATATAACATAATTGTATATTAAATGATTGTATTAGAAACTAATTCAAAATATCTTGTTCTTCCTAATTTTACTCGATACAATCGATGAGATGAATCATTCATCATGAAAAGAAACATGCACTAGAACGACATAGCTACTAATAGATTCTGATAGAAATATCAACATAAGTTTCATTTGAATCCTATATAAATACTGATTTACGTTATGTATCATTAGATTAGACAAAACGGCGATTATTCATGCAAATCTATTTTCGAAAAAAAAATCTAATACATTGATTTGATGACCATCACATTTCAGATACAAATAAGAATTAAGTACCTACTTGGTAAACTATGAATAGACATAATCAAGTATATGACACTTGTCTATTTCGAAGAAAAAGACAAAACATATCTTTACAATCGAAAGAATAATCAGTATGTAATTCTTGAAAAGATTTTAACATGGGTAATAAATTTTAAAAGAAGAGAATAACAAGGTTTATTGATACTAAATACTACAGAATTGATGTGACAAAATAAGTTTGTTTTTTTTTTCTTGAATTTTTTTTAATAATAGTCCATTCGGGCTGATTGCGGATAGGTTGGTGTTGATGGTGTTTGACGATAATAAGGCACTTCCGATTGATCAATATCTAAATATAAAAATTATAGATTTTTATAATAGAATTTCTGTCTAAAGTTGAAAAACAAAAAAGAATCATGCTAAAATCACACCACCTACAAGGTTGTTGAACATATATTGTCATACTCGTTCGTTTATGAGTTGGAGGTTCTCAATAGAAAAAAAACAAAACAAATAATACAAAAAATTATGATTTCACTATATATTGAATCACATATTCACCTGGTTTTGGTGGCCAGTTATCAGATGCAATACGATTTTCTCGTACTAAAATTTATTTAATTAATTCTTTAATTATTTAACTAAATAAGATATTATTTACTCATAGAACTTTCATCATGACGTTTAGAAAAACTTGATGTTAGATAATCATTATTGTCTGTTTTTTTATATAATTGATGACGACGATTAGTTGATGATGGGATATATTGAATAGGTATAATTCTTGATGATAAATTATTCCATCTATGATAACTAATAGGAATATTACGTCCTAATCCAGATTTGAATTTTAAAAAATCATTTTCAAAACGCCAACGAATTTTATCAAAAAAAAATGGATCATCTAAATCCCAATCCCATGCAAGTGATGGACATGATAAATCTCGTTCAATTAAACGAGTACTTAATGGACGATCATCAGTAAAATTACGATAACGATATGAAGAATTATAACTATTATTAGAATTTGTATGATATGAAGATGAACGAGAATAATGTGATGATGAACGAGATTCTTTTGAATAACTTCTTGTTGATAATGACATATTAGTATAGAATAAGATTATTGAAAAAAATCTGATAATTCAAAAAAAAAAAATCAAAATAATCGAAGATAAAACTCTCTATGAATTTATAAAACAAGTGTTTGATACACAAATAAAGATCTAGACAAATATAACCTTCACATTAACACATTGCACTTGTTTGATAATGATGATGATGGTATATCGTTATCAAACAAGTGTGCCATTGGCATGAGAAACGAAAGGGAGAAAGAGATAGAAAAGAGCGGAACATATTATTTTCTCTTTTCAAATACACTAACCATATTGATTCCTTCCTAAAATGAGAGCGTGTCCTGCGGTTTGTGGATTTTTCTGAGAAAAACAACCGATATGATCATCAGTAATCAACAGAAAAATATCAACGCAAAAACAATAACAACAACACCTTGCACGACACTGATGATTACATGTTATTTCGCTCTTGTCATCCTCAATTGCGAATAGTACTTTTTTTTTTTTATTATAATATGAGAATAATAGATGTAACAAATAATGAGACAGTAACAGCTGAAAGAACAAGAATATTACTATTTTTAACAGTAATTCTGAAGATATCGCATATAGAAAATTATAAATGAGTGCATGAAGGAAAAAAAAACATACTAATTAATTGCAAAAAAAAAAGTAATTACTATGATCGAATAGTGTCAAAATGACAAATCATTATTAAACAACCGAACTATTATCCTCACAAGCATTCAAATTTAAATAAAAGAAAAACAATCTGTAGATATTACTGACATGTCCTTGACAATAATAGTGCATGCAGAAGGGCACATATTGATCTATGTTCTTGTCATCATAAAAAATGGCAAAGATACCACCAAAACAACATTAATATAGAACGAAGAGATGATCAGAAAACATCAATGTTCTCTTTGTTTTTCCAGACATATCTGTCTAATATTGTATGCCAGCATTGTTAATGACGTTTCATTAATCTCTTTTTATTAAAGTCTTTGAAAAATGAATTATTCTAACTTATTTTTCACTCTCTATTGAGTATAAATCATCTTTTCAAAAAAAAAAAAAATTATTTATTCAGGTGTTTTTAATAAAATGTTTTTTCTAGAAATAATTTTTAATTAGTATAAAACGAGAAGACAAAAAAAAATGTGCCCTTTAAATTAATCTAGTCAATATGAAGTAGATTGAGAGATCATTTCCATAGGTAGGTACCTGCATGTTCTCTTATTATTGATGGCATTTATATATAGTATATATAAATGAGAGAATATTTCATTTAAACTCATGCCTTTGACATACAATCAACAAAAACCTCTTCACTATTTATGTTCTATAGCTTGTCAAGTAAACTTGAAGTTAATTTTAAAAATTCTCGAAACTAATTAAAAGTTTTCAGAACATCAATAACTTATATCATTTTTATTGAAATGCCCCGAAGAGAGAAAGTCAAAGACATATTGTATAATTTAATACCCCATGTAGATCGTATTTCATAGGCATTGCAGCAAAAAAATATACATATAAAAAACTATAATCATAATAAATCTATAGAATTATCACAATCTAATTGCAAAATGTTTTGTATATGTCACACCCTCTTTTTTCTTTCTGATTTTGATCATATTTTATATTCTTTGCACATTCTATTATGCGTTTGTTTTTTTTCGTTTTTATAAGAAAATGTTTTCTCAATCTATAAAAATGTCATATTCATCAATATTATTTGCATTACACTTCGTTTTTTTTTCCTGATGTTCATACAAATCTATATTGCGCTTAACATTGCAACAATAATTAACTTGACTTCTTTCTACATTTCTTTTGTACATAATTAATAATAACAGTTATGATAATCACGCGATCATTAAAAATGAACTACTACATTTCTCCTGTTGATATTTCAGTTCTTTTAAGATGCATAATGTATTCTGTGAATTGTTGTTATTACGTCGTTGTTTGGACTCTATACATTCTCGTTGGGATTAATTTTTTCTTCTTTTTTTTTTGTTTTTTAATAAAAAGAAGAAAAACGAGCACATTCCGCAGGTTAAAAAAGAGAGTTAGTCATATCGAGCGATAGTAATAAGGAGCTCATTAGTAACGATGAAAAACAATTGCCATCGTCACCACTATGGGAAAAAAACTGACTGTAGAGAAAGAAAAGACAAAACATTACTTCCGGGGATAGACAACAATTATAATCACTAAAAAGAAAACAAAAAAAAATGAGAATGACGCACCTCATTCGTTTAGTCTTATGATTATGGTGAGAAAATATGATTTCTTCGTTTTAACTAAAAATATTATTTAGATCAAATATTCGATATGGTAAGTATTTCATAGCTGAGAGACAATTTTCTATATCCATTAATACGTATTTTTTCTCTATCCGCAAGTAAATTATAAATTCTTACTCATTATTATTTGTCACTTTCAAAAAAGAAAAAAAAGAAAGATCGGCATGACCGACAGATTAATTTTGCTTATTAATGATAACTTCTAGTTATGCTTTTTTTAATGCTAAATATTTGAGATTATTTATTGATGCGCATGATCATGTTCTTTTACGTATTTAATTATTTTTAGTTTCAAAGCCTCCGCCTTTTTTTTTTTTTATATCTTGAAGACTTTATTTTATTAAAATTATCATATGAACCTTCGGCATATTAGAATATATATTGATGTATTTAGTACTCTGACTATAGTAAACCTCGGTTAGAGAGTGTAGATGTAATAACAACGACTAGTAAAACAGATACAAAAGAGTTACATATTCAAAAAAATGAAACTCAACATATTTAATTTGGACTTTCTTTTTCTTATAAGAACATTTATGAATAAATCCGGAATATTTTCTTTTTTCTAACTTTAGTTATAAACATATAGTAAGTAGTATTTGACAAAATAATCAAAGTATTTTTTTCTCTTATAATCATCAAAAGCCATGTTGACCTATGCATCGAAGAACTGGGAAATAACTGCGTGTTCTTTAGAATGCCAACTAGGGATATATATTATTTTCAAAGAATGAACAATAATAGATGAGTGCGAATAGAATATAATCAGATGAATAGTCATGATAGTTTTAACATTTAAAATATGAATCGCATTCATCTTTTCATTAGAAATGTTAAATATCTATAACTAAAAATTCTATTACTTTTTATTCTAAATTTTTTTTTGTTTTCAATTTCTTGACGTTTTTTTTTTCCCTACATATTAAAAAATCATGATATATTAATATAAAACTAGTTCAACTATAAATAAATCCTTCAGTTATTTTTTTTTATAAGCTTAAGCTCTTTTTAATCCATATAGAAAAAAAAAATGCTTTCAACAAGCATGAGACTACGTCTTTTCTTTTTTGTCAAATGGAAAATAATTTTGTTGATGCTTGAGTGGATAATTAAAGGAAGTAACGCTATAAGACGAATACAAACAATACTTTTCTTCTTTTTTTATATCAAACATCAAAAGAAATTTATATCTATAGAAGTAAACAACAAAATTATCGACGTTAAGTTACTGTCATTTCTTATGATTATAATTGCAAACTGAACTTAAATATAAGATTGTGTGAGTTCTCCTTCGGCTAGACGAAATTGTAGTTGATCAATGAAACTTCTAATAGGTAGAAAGAAGTAAACATAAGAGAGAATACTTTACTAGAATTGAAATTAAATTCATTTTTCTATGAATATCTTTAGTGACGAGATCAGTATTTTGTTTACAGTATTGTAATATTATTATGTAATCATCAATTGCTTAGTATTATTATACGATTACCAGTTTAAACCGCATGATAGAAGATATGATCTCATTACCCTAGACAATCGAACATCATTTCTCTCCTTTATAATCTAAGATGATTAATAAAAACAATATGTACTTAGAAAAATAAAATTATTTCCATTATCTCTAATTTCTTAGATATGTGAAAATGTTTTAACTATAAAATTGAAACTATGAAAAATATTTTGAATTTTAGATGAGTAATTTATCAGTATCAGATAATTCAACATTGGCTCAACATGAAATCGAAGATATTTGGCATAATATCAATAGATCATCATCAGATCGTATTACTTATTGGATATCAATTGCAAGTTTTATATTTGCTATATTTGGTTCAATAAGTAATTTAATGTCGGTTATTATTTTACGTCGTTTAAGTGCTCAATTATCAACATTTGTTTATTTAACTGGTTTATCTTTATCAGATATGATTACATGCATATCAATAGTGATGACATATATGATTGAATTTATTGTTGGAACTCGTCGAAATACATCAATAACAATATTTCTTCGATATGTCGAGATTATTTTTGGTGGATTAGCTGCTGGTAGTCGTGCGTTATCATTATGGATATCAACAGCAGTGACAATGGATCGTTGGGTATTAATTTGTTATCCAATGTATGGTAAAACATTTTGTACATTAAATCGAGCAAAATTTATTTCACGAACATTGTTTATCATAGCATTTCTTTATTCAATTCCATTGTTTTTTGAATATGAAATAGTTCAAATGCCACATGTTTATCAGACAATTGATTTTGATAATGAATCTTTCTCACTATTCGATGAAAATATTCAAAGTAAAAGTATACTTGTTGCGAAAGGTTATAGTGATTTAGCTAAACGAAGAATTTATCGTTGGGCTTATATGTTTTTTAATGCAGTATTTGTTTATATATTATCAACGTTAACAATTGTTTTTTTTAATTTACAATTAATTCGAGCTTTACATCGTGTTAAATCTCGTACAAAACTTTTAAAAAAACATCATAAAAATGGAAAACATCATAATCGTCATCAACGTTCTTTTCAAGCAAAATATTCTGTAACAATTATTGTTATTGTTCTGGTATTAACATTACTTATATGTCGAAGTCCAACAATTGTTATTTGGATTTTATGGTCATTTGAATTAACAATTAAAGCTTTTTTTGATTCCTCATCAAGTGCCCTTGTACGACGTTTTCATAATATAGCAAATTTAATTGCAATTATAAATGCAGCAACAAATTTTTTACCATTTTATGTATTTGGACAATTATTTCGTACTGAATGTTTAAATATTTATTGTTGTCGAAAAGTAACAAATGAACAAATATTACCACCAACAAGACAAAAATCCGATGAAAATTTTCAATGTACAATAAATAATGAAAAAATTAAAAAACATGATAAAATTCAACAACGAAAACTAATTCAAAATGATAATTTACAAAATACTTTTCCATTAAGTTCTGAAACAACATCTTCACCAATGCATTCAGCATCAGTTAATTCTTCAACACATGTTATTAGATTATGTGATTCACCATTTCATTTTCCTAATTATGGACAACATATTCCGAAAATATCATCAGTTACAACATCATTAGTAAAAGAAACGACTGATCTTTGATTTTAAATGTAATAATTAAATTTATATTTATTAAATAATAGGTTTTGTAAATTAAATAAAGATTAAATTTTCAATATCATTCATTTTTAATATAAGTAATCAAATAGATTGAAATGTATTCTTTCTATTAATCGAATTATTTTCTCATAGATTCAATAGAATTAAATCGAAAAATTAATATTTATATAACTATTTTATTAAATTGTTACTTATCAGCAGATTATACATTCTTTTGTTATCTTTGCTTCTTCATCTAAAATCTTGAAATACGTCTTTCACTGTATTTTAGTTTCAGAATTTAGTATTGTTTTTTTTGAAAGAAACAATAAATATACAACAAATAAGTCCTGTTTTAAGTGAAACGATTCAAAATTCTATTCATCATAAGTATAAATAAAGAGTTGTATCGGATTCAGAAATATTTTCTAGACCCGGCTAAAGAATTATGAGTCATTCCATCAGGCCTAATATTGATGCATTGTTTGGCTCTGCGTGTGTTATTATGAAATGTTTGCTCTTTCAATCTGTATGCTCATAAATAGATGATACACTTTTATAACCAAAACTAAAATCAGATTCAGATTTACACCTGGCCAGATCTGCAAAATCTGAATTCGAACCTTTTTCTTTGAAAAATGTTTACTATGAAGATGTTTCTAATGTATTTTTGATTACATAGAATAAAAGAGCAAATATTTCTCTACTACAAAATGAATGTTCGAATAATGAATCAATATTCAAAAAATAAAATATTCTTTTTGAACTCGATACAGCTTTCTAGACTTAGGTAAAACGATATTTCCAACATGAAATTTAAATTTATATTCGATATAAAATAGTAATGATTTGGAATAAGATCTTGTTCAAATGACAGATTTAATATTGTTATTCACATTAACATTCAATAAAGTATTATTAAGTAGACGTGAAAATACATATTTAACATACACTTTTGTTAACAATGTGTGAATCCTGATGAGAGATAGTTCAATAGAAGCGAACAATAGAACTAGTCAAGGAAGATATATTTCAGACTAATGAGAAAATGCTTCACGTCACATAAGGTTATATATTTCAAGCGGAAATGAAAAGAAAGTAAGAATATAAATATATAATTATCATTTAATTCAAGTAAAAAATGATTATTTTTAATGAGAAATGCTTCTATTTATCTCTACTAGAAAGTATCTTTCGAGCGAAAAGAAAAAAAAAATGAAAAATATCTGCTTCTGTCATTTAGATTACTGTTGGCTAAAATTATAAACGATTGAAGACTTTTTCTGTGAATAATGTACTTATCATAATGCAAACGAGCTTAAATAACCTTTGGTATTGTATTAAAAAAGTATATTTCCTTGAATTTGTCGGATGGATTGAATTATTTTCTACTGGAAATAGTATGATTTTCCTGATTTTTGGATGCATTGTGCGGCAATGATTTATTCATAAAAAGAATTTCTATATTTATATTATCAAGCAGTCCTTCAAAAGAACAACTTTCTAATGATTAAAATCATTTATTTCTTCGACAAATATAATTCATAGTAAAATCTATTTCGAAAGAATATCATTTCTTATAGAACATCATATGTCACAACTTGATATAAAACGTGACGGAAATGCAAATGAAAGCAGCATTCTTTTAAATAGTTAGATAGAGTGTGACGAGTTGATCAAGTATTTATGTGTTTTCATATGTGTCAAAATAAGTTTTTAGATGAAAAAAGTTTCGATTTTTTTTTTCTGAAAACAAGATCAATTTTCAATAACCGATGAATACCCAATTTTCTCTTTCTTCAGGTTTTAAAAAACTTATTCATTTCAGATTCAGTGCAAAAAAATTGAATGTAGGAATGTCATGTATGAATTACTTTTATAGATTTAGTTTTTCATGCTGAGTGTGCAACAAATAGTTTTGAAATCTAAAGGAAAGAAAAAAATTGACACTTTGGCACGTATCGAAAATTGACCTTTTTTTTGGAGAAAAAGTAGGTCATTGAGGAAAAAACGACAATTTTTTTCCTAGAAACTCATTGAAAATAATGAAAACACATATATACTTGATCAACTCGACACGCTCTATCTGACCATATAAAAATAATTCTACTTTAATTTTGTATTTCCAGTACCTTGACATGAAATTTATTATGAACACCTTTCAAAAATAAAACACATCATTGAAATTTCCTCATTATTTTTTATACAAAACAAATTTGATATGAATGATTGTTGTCTCTCAACAACACCAATTTTTATCAAAACTCTACATAATCGACCTTGACATTTGTTTATCTTTCATAAAATTTGATATCATCAGCATGCTTGCATTCTTAGCATTTTTCTAGGTGGTCTTATATTGATTAATTAATAATGACATTCTAAAATAATCTTTCGATAAACAAAACTAAATTTTGTGAATATTCATGATTTTTAACTTTTAATGAAACTATATAAATTTTAAATGTCTGTACATTTAGCATTAAATGATTGAATTGATAACAAGCACATATTTAGCAGAAGATAATTGCTTGAAAAAAGTAAGAACAAAAAGAAAAAGTCAATAACGGCTTTTCTCATACACTCGTTCATGCACTCAGTACAGATTCTGCCATAATAATAATAATAATGATGATAACAGGTGCAACGGAAAGAAAGAAATTCAGTTTCATATATGTGTGCACAGAGAAATAGAAAAAGGCACAAAAAAAAAAATGGGTCACCACACAGCAAAAAAAAGGAAGTAAAAAATTGCACGCCAAATAAGATAATACAAAAAAGAAAAGAGACGAAGGAGAAGAAGAAAAAAAAGAAGTTCATTAATTCGCAATGAATGAATCTGACCGACAAGAGAAAAAAAAAGAATGCGTAGTAATCCTCTTGTCACTATCATTCTCGATATAAGATCATCATTCAAGAGGTTGATCACTATCATCTTCATCTTTAAATGAAAGAGATTGAGATGATAATGTTGAATTACCACTACTAGTCACTTGTTGTTGTTGTTGTTTAAGTAGGACACTGTTCGTTTGTTGTTCATATGTAACGCCTTTTCTAGTATTGTTATTATTATTATTATTATTATTGCTATTTAATTGATCAATTTCATCATTATGTCCAATATGTACTTGATGACGAAAATTCATTGGTGCTGATATAACAGCTTTATTTGTTGTTGTATTTGTTGTTGATAAATCCGATGCAAATGTTGAAATGTCCGATGGACCAATATGTCTTTAAAAAAAAATTTTTTTTGTTAAAATCTTGTTCAATGCTATTCCATGTGGAGCCAATGTGTGGAATTCACAAACTGTGACTATTATATACTTAAGGGATTTTGGTTTTCTTAAATTCAAGAGGTCTGGAAATTTGTGTGCATATACTCCACTAAGAATGTAAATCAGAGGCATGAGTTTGTCTTCTTTGCTTAAATGCAACAAGAATTATGGTAGATGGCGTCTATTTTAGCTCCAAAAATTTTTAACCTGACAAAGTTGTCTATTAAACTATGCGTTATCTTTTATCAAAAATATGATTAATTCTTGATATTTTTAAATACCACTGAAACTCAGTATTTGTTTTTTCATTACTTAAAAAATTATGTAATCTTCTGCAGAATTTCTGTCTCTACATGTTTGTGAGTTCTTGGCACCAACACTGGAAGAAATCTTAATTTTTCGAATTGAAAAGCGCATCTTCTGAGAAAAACGATAGATAACTTATATAGAAGAAAACTATATTAAAATGGCATATTCATAAGATATTTAAGTGGAACTTTTAAAAGCATATAATAGGTAATATAAGCTAACACCGTTTGTAATACTTCAATTATAAAAGAATATTTCTTCAATATCGATGCAAATAAAAAGTTTGTATTTAAAATTGATATTCTAATAATTTATTAGGTCGTTATACTGAAAAAACTTCTTGGTATTATCACATACATCTTCAATGTATAAAACTTCTTTTCTCGTAATAATAATATATACGACAGATGCTATAGGAAGCGAAAAATATCATTTTATTCTTCGTTTGATAGATTCAAGTACCATATTAACCTGCTACACATTGATTTAATTGTTTAGTAAGCTCCACAGCTCAATATTGTTTCTCTCAACAAACTTTTGACATATACTGTTGAGTTTTGTCTAAACTTAGAATTCAATTGATTCATACTATTCTATGGTCGTCTCGAAGATAGAAGAGACTGTGCTACGCTCTAACGCACGCCGATGCAACATATCAGAAATATGCATGAAGCGCATGTTACGCCTCCTCATGATTCCATTCATGGTAAAAGAAAAGTAAAGAAACGATTTCACGCTTTCGAAACGTATTCATTGAACAAGACAAGAAGAAAGCGTATGAAGCACTTAAGCGTGAGCAAGAGCACGGAACAACCTCCGTCCCATTCTGACTCTCCTTGATTAACAATATTCTTGCTCCACTGATAATTACCTACAATAAAAGTCTTTCACTACATTAAGTACCAAAGCTAGCAATATCTAGACTAGTTAGATTTTACTATAGAAATCTTAAATTTATAAAATGTTTTGGAAGATTCTAGAAAATTCCCAAATGATCTCAGCAGCGTTATAACTGAGGTACATTTTTTTCTATTGCTAGAAAAACGTATCCAACGATCTTTGATTTTCCTTTCTATTATCCTCAGCTTCTAGAACTTGACGAGAGAAACTACAAAAGACCTCGATTTATACCCTACACTCAACTATTTCCTCTACAACTATATGTGAATTTCATAAAACAATTAAACAATGTAAAAACTAAATAAACATACGTTAAATGAACAAAATTTTGTGGACCAGAAATAAGTGAACGTCGATTATTAGTATTTAATGTTGAACCACTACTACTATGATTTATTGATGAAAGTGTACTTGTTGGACTGACTTGTTTTAAACCTGATATAATTTGTAAACCTTCACCTTTACCTAAATGTGATATATGTGTAAAATCTTTAGGACCTGATATAGGTGCAATTGATGATGATGTTGTTGATTTTATTGTACCAACAACTCCACCACCAACACGAAATCTTCCACCACGTGTTGCTAAACTTTTCGATGATGCACGTTCAGGAACGTTAAGTAATGGATTTGAATTTGTTTTTTGAATTAAATAAAGTAATTTTGAATGATGATTAAGAAGTTCAGCATCGTGAGATAAACAAATACAACCATCAAATGTTAATGAACGTGTTCGTGATAATGGTAATGATTGTAACCATGTTGCTGATGGTACATCATATATATCAACTGATTTTTCAGTGTATATTAGTAAATATGGATCAGAAAAAGCAGTTGATATTGGCAATGCTGTCCACATTAATTCTCTATGACGTGTTCGCATTCCTGTGGAACAACTTACATAAATTCCTAATTCACGAAATACGAGTAAAAGTTCGTTAATTGATGAAGAATCTAAAAGAATAAAGATAATAGATTTGTAATATGAAAATTAAAGATGATTCATAATTTATGGCAAAAATAGTTCAATCTGTAAATCTGTTAAGATACTTATAGATTTAAGAAGATGATTATTTCATCGATATGTTCTTGAATTCATTATGATATTAAAAAAAAACCATTTCTTGATTAGTAAATTAGGATTTTGTCGAAATCATATCTAATCCTTTTTTTTTTTCATCATCGTATGTCACCGTCTTTATAAATTACTACATGATGACAGAATATGTCACTTATTCTCGAGGCAAGTGTTATCTAATGTGATATGTAAATTAATGTTTATTTGTATTACTGTTAGTTTCTTTTTTTGTATTCTTTATTATCTTTTAAGGTCTTTGGGTATATACTTTCGCTAATAATGTTTCTTTTCGAATCTTAATTTCTATAATTTCTTTTTTTATTTAAACTTTTATTCCTAAATATCTTTACTCGAAATATAAATCATGATGTTTTATTGAATTAACATCAAATTTCTTAGAAAATTATCATGTTAACTTACTTGTAACAGGTACAACACGTAATGCTTCAATAGGTCTATCGCGAAAAAATTGTAATGTTGGATCTTCATCTCTTAATAATGATACACTTGGACATTGTTGATCAAGTCTTTGAGCAATAAATGTTGATGGATATCCATACCATAAAATTTGTTGTTCAGTTTGATTTATATTAATTGTTGAAATTTCTAAATATGTAACATTTTGTATAATATTAAATTCTCTTATAAATGAATAATGATATGGTTTTGGTGTTGAAAATAATTGATAAACAAGTATACGATTTTTAATAGCAACACATAAAACTAATGATGTTGAATGTACCGTAAATGTTGTGGCATTTTTTGTTTCAATTATTTTACTATCTAATGGTGATAATGGATGTTCAAGTAAAGATTTAAGTGATTGAAGACGTATTGTACGTTGTTTTCCAGCTAATGTTACTAATAATTCATTATTTGAAATTAAAGATAACTGATGAACTCTTTTATCACTTAATTTTGTTGATGCTAAAAATAAAAAGAAAACAGCTGTTAGTGTAATCTATATGAGATTAAAATGTGAAATACGATATAGCCATTGTTGTTCATCACAGAAACATTGCTTTATTCTATCTATTCTGATTACATAATTCTTCAGTATTGTTTTACTTAACCCTTCAGAAATATAATAAATAAGCAGTTCATTTATTATAGCTAGATTGAATTGATACACGGTTTGTGACGCGAAAGGGTGAGGAGATTGTTATTAAGGTGTTTCACATGGCTTGTAATGGTCTCTTACTAAAGTCTAGCCGTTATGATTGACGAGCGAACGTCCCAAGGTGTAACCTTCCATTTTGATTCATTTATATCTCATTTAAGTAAACATATTGAGATAGTAAAAACCCTACAAGGATTTGGGTTCCTGTTACTTCTATCAAGAATTATAATCTTTTTACGGAATTTTCAATCCATTCCTAGGTATTTACTGTAAAAAATAAAATTAGAAATTTCGACCTGAAATTTCGCCTACAAATAGGCCCAATGGTCCTTAAAATATCCTGAAAGTTTCAGCCAAAAAGAATGTTTCTTTCTCGAGATATTAATTTTTCGAATGGACTCAGTTTTTGTGACGTATTTATGGCAAGCGACTATTTTTTGAAAAATCAGTATCTCGAGAAAAGAACACTATTTTTGGCTGAAACTTTCAGGATATTTTAAGAACCATTGGGCCTATTTGTGGGCAAAATTTTAGGTCCAAATTCCCTAATTTTATTTTTACAGTAAATACCTAGGAATGGATAGGAAATTCAGTTAAACGGTCATAACTCTTGATAGAAGCAGCAGGAACCCAAATCCTTTTAGTGTTTTTACTATCTCAATATGCTCACTTAAATGAGATATAAATGAATCAAAATGGGAGGCTCCCTCGTGAGTAGCTACGTTGTTCAACACGTATTCGATGGGCACTATGTTCAGTCTTGGATGCCAATAGCCATGGAACGGTCTTCGATATGTTACTAACGATCATTTGTCTCATATTACTCATCGGATAGCATGCTGACTGCATTGCGACATATAAATGTTCTTACGGTTAGTCAGTATGTACGACGAGCTCAAGCAGTCTGCATCAAGTCAACTATTTGTTCAGAACTACATTGGACTAATGCGTCTGCTACTAGGCAGCATCCTATACCGTAAGGAAGCCAAAAGACAGGTATTCTATCTTTCTTCCTGGTTCGAGTTTATCACAGTGTGTGATGACCTTTGATTAGCTAGTATCACGATCTGAATGTAATCCAAGTTTTTATTCGTATACTTCAACACTTGTTGTAGATCGCGTCTCACGAAATATTATTTAGTATTAATAAAAAAGATTCATCTAATTACGTACTATCTTTTGAAATATCGAGTAAATAAAGACCATCTTCACCACAAGCTATTAAACGATCTTGATCTAAAAAACGACGAAGAATGAATAAGAAAAATAGGTTAAAAAAATTAGTTTTTTTGTAAAATACCAAGAATAACAGCAGCTGTTGTTTCTTTTAAACTTGAGCATTTTGATGTATCAAACAATTCTTTAGCAATAAAATTAGCACCACGCTAAAATATAAATTTTGATTATAAGTTAAAAATAAAAAAAGTAAACTTATTTTCTATTTCTTACAGTAGCACCAGTTTGTTTAAGAGTTTTAACTTTGCTTGAAAGATCTGATAGCATATTAACATATTGATTTTTTTCTGATTCATTATTTGTTAAAACCAATGTATGTTGAAATTGTTTTGGTGATGATAATTTTAATATACTTATCTAAATTATTTAAAATATAAATAAATAAATAAAATAAAACAAAAAAAAACAAAATATCAAACTTTAAATATGCTTGAAACATCTTTTTTATTTGCATGATATGCATCAGATGATGTTACAGAAGAAACAATAAATTCATCATCTGTAAGATCAATTATGAATGCTGGTTGTGGCCAAGTTATTTTTTGATCTTTATCAGATGATAATTCGTAGAATAATAATTTTGTTTGTAAATTTAATAATTGATATTTACTCCAACCTTTTTTAATACCACCTGCTTTTGGAATCTATAGAAAAATAATAATATATTAAAATTTTCAAATAAAACATATTAAACATACGCGAACAATATGTTGATCAAGTAAAATTGTTCGACCTGAATATAAAAATACAATAAAAGAAAATCTATAAAAAAATCAACTTTCTTTTACTTCGATCTTTAATTGATGGTCGACATGGTGTTGAGATTTTCTCCATACAATCTGGATGACAAATTAGTTTACAACCTAAAATTTTATTTTAACAAAAACAAAATTTGTATATTTTTCATTTTTCTTACGTTGACAAACAAAACCTTGTCGAACAATACCAATTAATGCATTTTGACAATCATCACACATAGCTGTTACATGGAAATTTGCTATCATAAAATCATGTAATTCATTCTAAAAATAGAATAAATCTACTTCCTAATTATGTTCTTTCAATTAAGTCAATAGTACTTAGACAAACAATAATAAGAGAAGCATTCCAAGAGGAAAATAGCCAAAGCTTCAAGTCGCAAAAATTTTCAATGCGAGTCGAAAGGTTTAATCAGAAACGCTGTTGCTATAAAAACAGCTTTCCATGTTAGTGTCTATTTATTGTATTAGAGCTTTAAATACATAATATCATCAATATTTTTCTTTTATTCACAATGAAATTTTAATGTTCTTTGATATCAATAATTTTCTAATTAGTGTTTTATTATAGAGATATGTTAGAATTATTGAAAGTGATTTATTGTCCACCATAAGACAATAATTCTTAAAGAGTTCTCAAATACTACTATTTACCCTTTCGGAGTATTTCAATCGATGTTTGTTTTTTTGCATGATTACCAAAAAGAAGTGAATTATATTTTATCAGCTGTCGTAACCAATGCGTTGAATATCATATAAATATCACAGTGAAACTAGAAATTCTGAAATCATCGACTTTTTACGATATTTTGTCCGACAGAAAATGTTTTCACATATCTTTCAAAATCAAAGCTAAAATTTTCTTACACTCACGGAACTGTAAAAAATTTTGTAGAAAATTCGAAATATTTGGGAAGAGAAAAAACTTTCACTATCTTCTCCATAATTGGTAACTTTGCAAATCAATATCGAAGAATAGATGAACTCACAATTCAAAAGAAAAATAAAGCAAAATACAAGAATAAGTAATTAAACATTACTCGAAGTGGAACTAAAGGTCGTATTGTTTGATTTTTATTAAGTGATCCAGACATTGTTCGCGATGAATCATCACCACCACTACTTCCATCATCAAATGTCGCAGATAAATCATTATTTGTATCATTTAACTATAATTAAAAAAGTAATTATTCAAAAAGAAAAAAGAAAAACAAAATTATTTACTAATGCTGGTGAATCCGATAATCCAGCAGTAACATTTCGAAGAAATCGATCGATTGAAGTATTATTAATAAATGTTGATAAATCATCTAAAAGAAAATTTTTGAAAAAAATTTCGAATTTATTTAATAAATTTTACCTGACACACTTTGAGTAATAGGTGATTTAGTTAATTGTTTTGTTTGTTCGCAAGTTAATTGTTTTTGAAGTTTGTCAATTTCTTCTTTTAAACGAAGATTTTCTCTATTAAAATAATTATTTATACAAAAAAAAATAAATATATAAATAAAATTTTAACATACTCAGCTTTAAGAATATTTTCAGCTTGACATTCTTTAAGTTCTTCTTGTATTCGTTGTTTAGCATCAATTTCTTTTTGTAATGAAGTTTGTAATTGTTGAATTTCCATATGTTTTAATTTAACTGATCGACCATGCTTCCAAGCCTATAAAAAAGTTTATTTTCAATAGGAAAGTCTTCGAAAAATTAACTGAAATCAATTTGATAACTGATCTTCCAATCGAAATGATATCTGTAATAGTTATCTATGGTCATCATCTATTATTGTAATATAGATTATATGATAATAGAAGTAGCGATTGAGACTACTTTTAAAGGTTTAGAAAAGGTGCGCAGACATACAACCAGTAACAGATGTCCAACGACTGAGAAATAAGAATTCCTGCTCAATTTTTCGTTTACGGTACTGTGAGAGAATTCATAGTTGATTCTCATTTCTCCGACGAATTATTATAGCAATGTTAAGAGTATCTTAACAGCTTAGAAATTTTGATTTCTTTGTTGTTGAACATTGTTGATGATGACTATGAACAAAAAAAGATCGACTTGAGTATTTTCATTCAAAGATTATTCGTAGTATTGGCTATTGGATAGAATAATTTGTTCAACAGAGTACAAATCATACTGCTTGTCTGTGATTGTAAGAAAATTCTATATGTTTTTAATTTCCATAGTTTTGTTTGTTTATCCCGATCAGTGAAATAAATCCATTTGATTAATTTTGATCTCTTTCAGACTATATTAGATTCATTTTACTAATCGGGATAAACACATCAAATTATGAAACTCAACAAATATAGAATTTCTCTTATAATCACAGAAAAAAAATAAGATTTATTTCTATGCTTTTGAACAAATTCTTTCATCCAAAGACTGAACATATGATATATTTTTTTGTAGGATCACTTTGTTTACATAGTATAAATATACGGTCTGACTGACTATGTAACAAGAAGAAATCGAAAATTTGCTGTATTTTTTTTTTTACTACCGGGCCATCTTGTATATCTTATATTTTCGACATTAATAAAATTGGATTTCTCTTGTTTGTTCTTTCATTAATTCCGAGCATTTATCTCTTGAAGGTATCTGATATTTTTTTGAAAATATTCACAAAGAATTAATGATACGATCATTATTCAATGCATGAGACACTTTCATGTTTACTTATTTTCCAAATGAAAAAACCTTGTTAATGCAAACTTGTCGAGGACAAGATGTGGAATTCCCATGTGTTCTTTAACATCATTATATTAATACAAAATAGGTCAAGTGAAAAATCTCTAACAGAACTATAGTAGTCTTTCTTAATTTAAAATTATTTTTATTCTAATGATTGGCTTAACAGGCAAATAAACCTTTTGGATATATTCATTATATCTACAGCAGCAGGTCTCAAGATACTAATATTAATCTTGATAATCTTAGAAATACTAATATTGATCATATCACAAAGTTAAAATTTGATCCATTCATGTTTTTTTGTATATTGATCATATGACAAATCAATGCATCATTACTCGTCATCTTTAATATCAATTCTTTTTATCTGCGTAAAAATGAAAAACTACATTATGTAAAGCATGCACAAATGTATTTCAGTGATTTTATTTTCGAGGAAGATTTTGAAATGTTCTACAATAATCTAAATCTGTTTCTTAATACCATTCAGTGCATCCAGAATATTTTGAAAGGAAAGGAGAGGACGAATTAGAATAATTTATTGACGATTTATGCTGTAAGTTATGGAAGCACAAAGCTATTATAGTTTCGACTTTTCTTTTTGTTTTTGAGCCATTGTTGATAATTTGTTCCATATCAATATGAATGATAGACAGCACATACATCATAGTTAATCGATTCAGACAATTTTCACACATGATACTGTGACGATACGATTTTATCAGTCTCAATGTCAGAAAAACTTCGCTAGCTTCCTTTTCTCTGTGGCCACCAATAATACCGCATAAATTTCAGAAGAAACTCTGATAGATATTCTGGAAGAAGGTAACACTGCATCGAACATGAGTTACATAATGAATCTCATACTTATTAATCATATTGACATAATGAGAACAAATGAACTGTTGATTATATCTATGATAAACTCTACAAACGCACATCAACTGTGTCATAGAAATAGAAATCATATCCAACGAGAAAAAGAATATTTGACATAATTAATAACACTAGGTAGAAAATCTATATATAAGTTGTTATCCTTTTTCTGGGAATCGTTTATTTCAAAAAATATAAGCATTATAAACCTAAAAATAGTGCAAAAATACATTATTCGTCTGTATAAGTTTCATAGAAATACAGAGATGCTTAACGTATAGCATACCTAAATTTCAAAGGAGGAAGGTATTCATCGCAGGCTCAGCGTCTTCAACCGTTATTAACAAGAAAATATTCTCATGTGACCCGCTTAGTTTGTCTTCATATTTTGTTAATATATAGGATATCACTATAATAAGATAACCTCCAAAGATTTTCTGCTCTTGCTTTATATGTAGTCGAGATAGTGAGTTTTTAACTGAACTCTCGTAGAAGAAATCTACTAAAAGATTGCTAACTCGACCAAATCTAAGTAAAACCAGAAAATCTTTAAAGCTTATGCTACTCCAATGATCTTCTATATATTAGCAAAATATGAAGGCAAACGTAGCGGATCATTTGGGAATATTTTCTCATAAAAATCTCAAAGAAATCTGACGGCTGTTGCTAGAGTAACGTACCCAATGATTGTTAGCCTTCCTCATCCCTTTTCGTGCTTTGAAAAACATATTCATTAGTCCTTGACCTTTAACCATCGTTGTTTATGAAGCGAAGAGAAAGACGCAAAATCTTAATTTATATTCACTATTTGTTTTTTTCTTTGATCAATATAATGTGAAAAAAAGAATTTTACTAACTGTATTATGTGCAAGACTTGTTCCTGCTGTAGTCAATGATGATGATGTACTTCCAATAGTTAATAAAGGACTTGTTGTTTCACGTATTTGATCAAGTTCTTCAGCCATTTTATTAGCTAATCCTTTTAAATGTGATCTAGCAGATTTTTCTTCATTAATCCATTTAAGTATATCATACATTTGTGTTTCCCAACGTGAATATGTAAGACGTTTTTCTTCTAAGAAAATTAATTTTTCATCAAGTTCATTTTTATCTCGTAAAATAATTTTAATTTTTTCATAAATATCATTTAAAAATGATGAAAATTTTTTTAATAATAAATCTTCATTTGTTATTAAATCTAATTCATCATCATTTTCATTTTCAATTGTTTCATCTAATTCATTTGAAAGATTATTATTAAATAAATTAAAAAATTTTTGTTCAAATTTTGTTAAAAATATTGAAAAATTATTTAATTGTGGTTTTGCTATTGATTGTTTATCATCATTTTGATCATTATTATTATTATTATTATCATCATTTAATAAATATGTTTTATCAATTGTTGAAAAATAAATAAAATGTTGATTTAATTGATTTTTAATATCATCTAATGATGTAAAATTTTCTTCATTAAAATTTTCATTTAAACCACGAAGATTTTGAAATAAATTTAAAATTTTAACTAAATATTGAATTTGTTCATTCGTAGATAATTCATATTGATTTGTATAAAAATCTTCAAGTGTTTTTATTTGACGAATTTGATCAAGTGAATCTGATTTTGTTTGTTCATATACTTCACGTAAACGTTTTAGTTCATCAAGTAATGATGTATGTTGAAGTTTCATTGAATTTATTATTTCTTCATATTCTAAATTTTGATTATTTATTGGAGAAGTTCTTGAATCACGAATATCAGATGAAGGTGTTGTAACAATCACTGTTGTGTTCGAAACCATCGATATTGTTTTAGCACCATCAGAATAGCGACTAGAAAAAAACAAAACAAACATTTATATTTAACACAAAAGAACTATTTAGAAGAATCATCTCATCATCAAAATTATAGTTAAATGAGATCTTTTTCATAATATTTAATTCGATAATCTCCTGTTTTTTTCTTACTGTAAAAATAAATCTTTAACTTACTTATTAGCCGAATGAGTAAAACCAATGAAAGGTAAATGATGTCCAGTAAATGCTGCATGAGAAACAGGTGGAACGACATCCTATTATAATATAAATCAATCAATTATAACATTCAAGAAAAATTCATAAGCACAAAGGAAAGCCACAGATACAAAAAGACACAAAATTCAAATTCTCTATAAATGTTACCTTCTTAACATTCTGCACGAACAAAATAAAGAGCAAAAATAATTAAATACAAATAAAAATCTTTGAACATACTTTATTAGATGGTTCAATATCATCAACATCAAAATTGGATGTATCACTCGGACTATTCACAACAGGAATATATGGAGCTGTGGCTATAATAAAGAAAAACATTTTTAATATCTTCAAGTTTATTTCATAATAAAAATAAAACCTTCTCGAAGATTTTCCCAATTAATTGAAATAAAAAATGGATGATTTTTAAAATCATCTAAACCATTTTTTCCTAGACGACTATCAATTGAACAAAGAAGATGTTGTAATAAATCTTTCGCACTATCCGATACTTCAATATCACTTGGAAATGGTAGTGAAAGCTATACGAAAACGAAAACAAAAACAAATAAAATCATTAATTAGTTATGATTAAAATCAAAATAATAACAAACCTCTTTTTGTACATGCATCATGATTTTTCCATAAGTTTCAAGAAGACTTTCGGCATAAAATGGTGGTAAACCAAATAACATTTCCCACATAGCACATCCTAAACTCCACCAATCACATTCCGGTCCATAACGACCTTGGCCTGCTTCCATCGCACGTAAAATTTCAGGTGAAATATAATCTGGTGTACCAACAGCAACATTGCTTTGAACTGTTCCATCAGCTCGCATTCGCAAACAGGAACCTGAAATCATATAATTTATATTTAAGCATAAAAGAAAAAGAAAAAAAACTAATCTAATCTCTCACCAAAATCAGCTAGACGAATATGTCCTTCTCCATCAAGTAACACATTATCAGGTCTAAAACCAGTCATAAATCAAATAGAAAAAAAAAAAAGTAAAACTCTAATTAAATATTAACTTTATATCTCGATGAACATAACCAAGTTTATGAAGTGAATCAATGGCTAAGACCATTTCTGCAACATAAAATCGAGTCATTTCTTCAGAAAAATGATCATCAAATTTTGATAATAATGTAAGTAGATCACCACCAAAATAATAATCCATAATAAAATACTAACAAAATAATATGAAAAAGAAAAAGAAAATTCTAATTTTATTTTATTTTATTTTTACCAAATTCTCTCCATCTTGAAATGCATAATGCAATTTCGTTAACCAATGTGGATCACCAAAGACAAGTACATCACGTTCTTCACGAAAACAAGCTGTATCAGCTCGTTTTAACATTTCCCATTTGTTCAATGTTTTCATTGCAAATACACGATCAGTATTCTTTAGTTTTACAACAGCAACTAAATATAATTTCAATAAATTAGAATTCAAAAAAAACAAAAATATTCTTTTTACCTTCACCAAAAGCTCCACGACCAATAATTTTGATTGTTTCAAAATCATTTCGATTTAATCGACATCGTTTTACACGTAATATAAATGATTTAGCTAGAAAAAAAAATAATATTGCGGTTTTTTTCCTTTATTTTTATTAAATCAATATTTACTAACCATATTCTATAAATTCAGCTATAGTTTTTTCTCTTCGTAATGTTGAATTACAACATTCATCATAAAGTACAATAAACGCATCAAGTAATGCTTCAACACCTAAGACAGTTTGATCTTTTATGGAAGAATTAAATAATAGACGTTCGAGTTCGTTTAAACGAGACTCGACATCATCGTTGATATTTTCAAACATTATTTTTTTTTTCTTTGGTTTTTATTAACAGAATAATATATAATAAAAATGACAATCCATTCAAATATATACACACGCACTCACGTACACTAATGCGTAAATACACCGAAAATTCTCACGACAAGATGGATCATCCTTTTTTTTTTGTTGCTTGTTGTTTGTTTACAATACAGAAGAAATAAGTCAGTCAGACTGATTGTCAAACAGGAAAGAAAAAAAATTTGACCGATCAGTTCACAAGGAAGCCATGAGAATATAATCAACGTTTACTAATGACATCTATAGAAAAAATATAAAAGTTCATATAAGAAGTTCTAACAATCTCAATCGTTTATTGTTGTCATATAGAAGATGAAGTATATTATATTGCAGAAAGAAAATAATAATAATAATGCTTATATTAATTAGGTTTTATTTTTATTGAAATTCATCTTTTTTGATTTTTGAAGTCAATGTCAATCGCAATATCTTCTTTCTTTTTATAACTATTTTTTTGTTTCATCAAGACATAATTACTCTTCAGGTTTATTCAATACTTTGAGAAACATAGTTAAATTTATTAGAACTATACATAAAATCTGGCTAGAATTTTTTTTTATAGATTTAATCGTTATACAAAACAAGAGAAAATCAATCGAGTTCTCTAGACTTTAAAATTCATTAATTTTATGGATGTAAGTGAGTATAACGATAAATGTTTGCAGATTTTATCATTTATATTTTGGTTATCTTTGATAAATATTTCAGTGAGGTAAGATATATTATCGTATCATACGACTTATTTTTTTCGTGTAATTGTATAGAATAAGCAAGTTTATAGAGTTTTAATAATTATAATTCTATGAAAATGTATCTTTCTTTTTGCTTTCACGAGTAATATTTTTAAGAAATTGAAAATTGATTAAGGTCATAGAAAAAGAAACAACATAACATAATTGTTCTTTTACTGCAACCATCGTATCCCGACACCATTCGTTTTAATATCTTTATTGCATGTTGACAATGATCCAATCATGATCTTCTTAAATTTATTCTTACTTGGAATAATAAATATGATTATTGTTGTATAAAACAAATTCTACAGTGATGGGCAAGTATTGAATGAGGTGTGATCATTGAGTTTATTAATTTTCCTAGTCCAGTCTGACATAGCTTATTAATCATGAAAAGAAACCATTTTTACTAAAGAACTTATTGAACAGTTTCGTAAATATTCTCTCAGACAACAAGAGTCTATCAGTATTTCAGTAATGTTTTCTTTTGTCATATTCATTTGTTCATGCTGTAGTTTTTTTTAATTGATGTAAGTAATATTCATCATTGTCTGAAGCATGTTTGAAACAAACAGTCCAAGACGGGCAATTTTTTATGATAAGGTTTTTATCGAACTTTATCGCATGGCACATTGAAATTCTTCTTGAAATGTATCTTTCTTTTATGTTACGTTTTCTGAATGATGAAATAAGCAAATTCATTTTAAATTGAATGGTTAAATCAATATAAATATTAGATATTCGATGACTACACTAATGATGATAGAGGAAAAAATTGCCGTAGCATTATTGCTGTATCAATGGATGAATTCGGAATTTAGTATAGTCTTGTTGAATTATCCAATATTTTGTGAAGATCTTATTACCATATTTTCTAGCGCTACAAAAGGAACATTTTGCACGTATTAAGTGTAATATAATGCACCTTGATCGAAAACAACCATGGACACCACATTGAAGATTTCAATCGGCTAACATAAAACATCATATTCAACAAAATGCATAACAGTAATTCTATAACAAATTTTTCTTTATTGTCGTCAACACTTATTTGTCTGATCCTCGAATAATTCAAATTTAGATATGTTGAAACATCAAATGTAAAGCAAATCTGCTCATTTCATCATTCGAAAAACATAATCTAGAGAGAGCTACTTTTAAAGAAGAATTGAAATGAAACAAAAAGTTATTTCATTTTGGACTGTTTGTTGCAAACATTTTATTCGAAACATGATTGAGTTTTACTTATTTGTATAAGTTAAAAAGAAACAGAAGATTTTGTAGAGAATTCAAAGATGAATCTTGAAAATAAGAAGCGTCAACATGAATAAATGAATATGAAAAGAAGCGTCGTTAAAATAATGAGAGGCTTAGATTTCCTCAAAATAACCGTCAGATCATTATGAAAAACCTTTTTTTTTAAATTAAGATGCTCATCTATTCTATTGAGATAAACATCGCCTAATCAGATAATTTGACAAATATTGTTGCTTATCTCTTTTCAATATGACATTTACACCTATTTGATAAAACAAGGCTAAATAATTCAGATGGTGAATATTTGCATTAAAAAAATGATTCATTCATTGCTTATTCGTTGACGATAAGTCTCTGACATATCATTCTGTTCTTTGTTGCTTTAAAAAATATAGATGCATAAATTAAGTTTTATGTGAATGATAAAAAAAGAGAAGGCGTATCTCCCCTGATCGGTCGAAGTATCGATAAAGACAAATCATCTCATGCCTTCTAAACAATATATTTTTATCTCTATCATACACGCCTTTTTCAGCATTAGCTGTACTGTACAATGTAAGTGAATTTCGGTATCTTCTATTAATTTAGTAGAATACTTTTTTGACTGATAATTAAGAAAGATCAAAATATAGTAAAGAGTTCATAGTTTTGAACTTTTTTTAGGGAACCAAAATGATACGATTCATATAGCAATTGAAACCGAATATACAGCAGTTGTCATTCGGATCAATCAAAATCGTGATCCATTATTAATTTATATTGGAAAACGACTTCATAATAAGGAAGAATATGCATCTATTCCAAGTTTTGATGCTAAACAATTGAATGGTGATTATACTGGTTTATACAGTTCTGTTTATACTTCAAGTGGCACACGTAATTTACTCGAACCTGCTATACAAGTTGTTCATGCTGATGGAAATCCATCATTGGAACTGAAATATATTTCACATCAACAAGACACGATTGGTGAATCTAATGAAATATCATTAACAACAATTCAATTGAAAGATCCTGTTTATCCATTTGAAGTTATTCTATATTATAAAGCCTATTATAAAGAAAACGTTATTGAACAATGGACTAGTATAAAACATACAGAATTGAATGCCGTACGTTTACAAAAATACAGTTCAGCTAATCTATATTTTAGTTCAGTTAATAAATATTATTTGACGCATTTTCATGGTGATTGGGCGCGAGAAATGAATCCGGAAGAAATTCAATTGACTGCAGGTATTAAAGTATTGGATACAAAATTAGGAACACGAGCTGATCTGTTTCAACCACCATCATTTTTTTTATCATTACGTCAACCTTTGAATCATGCTGACGAAAATTATGGTGAAGTATTTGCCGGTACATTGGCATGGTCAGGTAATTATCAGATTCAATTTGAAATCGATCCACTTCGTAATTTACGACTTATTGCTGGTATCAATTCGTATGCATCAGAATATGTTTTACTTCCAGACAAAGAATTTATCACGCCTAGTTTTCTTTTTACTTATTCTTGTCAAGGTTTAGGTGTAGCTAGTCGAAATTGGCATCGATGGGCAAGAAAATATCGTATTCCACAAGGTGAAGGCAATCGATTAACTTTACTTAACAATTGGGAAGCAACATTTTTTGATTTTGATGAACAAAAATTAGTTTCATTAATTAAAGATGGAAAAAAATTAGGTGTCGATTTATTTCTTCTCGATGATGGTTGGTTTGGTAATAAATATCCTAGAGATTATGATAGTGCTGGTTTAGGTGATTGGCAAGAAAATCTTAAAAAATTACCACATGGTATTGGTTATTTGATAAGTGAAGCTGAAACAACAGGTATTAAATTCGGTATTTGGATAGAACCAGAAATGGTAAATCCGAAGAGTGAGCTCTATGAAAATCATCCTGATTGGGTTATTAAACTACCAAATCGATCCGAATATTATTTTCGTAATCAACTTGTACTTGATATGTCTAATCAAGCAGTTCAAGAGTTTGTTTATGGTGTTGTCGATCGATTATTTACTGAACATCCGAAGTTAGCTTATATTAAATGGGATTGTAATGCTGTCATTTATAATGCTTATTCTCCAACAAATCCTCATCAATCTCATTTATATGTTGATTATGTACATGGTTTATATAGTGTTTTAGATCGTCTTCGAAAAAAATATCCTTCTGTGTTCATTATGTTATGTTCAGGTGGGGGTGGACGAATTGATTATGGTGTTTTGCAATATTTTACTGAATTTTGGCCAAGTGATAACACTGATGGATTAGAACGAATATTTATTCAATGGAGTTATTCATTCTTTTTTCCAGCAATTACTATATGTAATCATGTTACTGATTGGAGTAAACAATCATTAAAATTTCGAACAGATGTAGCTATGATGGGCAAATTAGGATATGATATTGTCGTTAGTAAACTTGATGAAAATGAAATTATATTTAGTCAACAAGTACTTCATACTTATGCACGTTTAAAAGATATTATTTGGCATGGTGATCTATTTCGACTTGTATCTCCATATAGACAAGATCATGATATTGCATCATTGATGTACGTTAATGAGAAGCAAGACAAAGCAATTTGGTTTACTTATTTGATTAGTAATCGTTATCAAGCTGGTAGTAATGGTGTTATTCGATTAAATGGACTTGATTCAGTGAAGACGTACACCATTCAAGAGATTAATATTTATCCAGGTACTGATAATTCGACAATCATTTTTCAAAATTCCTTATCTGGTGATTATTTAATGACATTTGGATTTGATCCAATGGTAGATGTACGACGGCCGAGTGTTGTCCTGGAGTTAACAGGACATATTTAATACAATGATTCTTTTTTTTTTTTTGAACTCTAAAAATGGTTCATTTTTTATAGTTATATTTTTTTTTGTAATTCTATTGATTCAGTATGATATGTAGAACATTAGAGCAGATTGAATACTAATAAACTACTAAACATTTTTTACTAAAATCATGACAAAATAAATAAATGAACTTCTAGAGTTACATTTCGATAAAATTGAAGATATAATTAATGCTATTCAACAAAATCTATTAATGAACATATTTCCATTTCAGGAAACAACAATCTAACGTGATAAAATTGTTCTTTAATGATAATACAACAAAGTCGAGTCGTACTCATTGAATGATAACAACTGTCTTTCCTATTATGCGTTTATTCTGATGATCTGTTTTATCCGTTTTTCTCTTGAAAATTATTTTCTGCTATATAAACGTATACTTTATGTGAATTAGACATTCAGAAAATATGAAGCAGAGATGAGTACGGTCTTGTTCGACGCTCCCAAAGGAACATTCCCACGCGGTCGTTTGCTTTTAAGCCAGAATTTAGTACTTCTTCTAGATCTTAGTGAATTATGCTTACCATAGAAAAACCTATTTTTTCGGATTTTGACCTGAAATTTGTCTACGTAAATATATTAATTGGACTAAGTCTCTTCGAGATGTGAAATTTTCAAAAAATATATTCCGTATACACTATCTATGAAAAATAGCCTAAACCTAAAAAATTCCATATCTGAAACAGACTTATTCCAACCAACCTGAAACTTGTTGTACAAAGTAATCTAATTAACATCTTTATATGGACAAAGTTTCAGGTTGAAATTTCAAAACATTGACCTTGCCATAAACATGAAGGTTCTGCAGTTGAAGCTAACTGAAAATGCTCAACCGCCTCAGAAAGAAGCCATAGGTACTCTCTTTATGATAGATATAGTTCACTAAGATCTGCTAGATGCATGAAATTCTCGCTCAAAAGTGAACGAACTCTTAAGAATGTTTCTTCGTCAGTAAAATTGATGCAACTTGATTACAATTATTTTTTTTTTATTATATTTTGATACAAAGAAATATCATGTAAATGTTAGTGACGGATTCATAGATCAGATGTGTAAAAAAAGTTTCGATACTCAACGTCTTGGCTATAACTCAGATTTCCATAAATTTCAATTCGATTGAATATGACTTGAGGCTATGATGACATCAATAATTATATCATCAATTGAATATAAATAAAAATAATTAAGACATTTGAAGAAATACAATTGATTTCTAATAACTCCCATTAATAATAATCTATTATAGATTTTAAAAATCATATACTTTCAATTGATTTTCTATCTCAATGACTTGTCCCTATATAATAATGTACAAGAATAATATTCGTGTCATTTTACGAAAATACTTGAACCTATTACTTCAGTTTTATTGTTAATATAACAAAAATGTCAAAGTAGTATTCGGTTGACTCAACGAACTCTATTCCAGTATACCAATACCTCAACTATTTCGTATTAAAATTTTATATGGTAGTCACAAGAAGTACGACTACCAGGTAAAAAGTAGATAAACTTCAGTGCTTTTGCCTGATATTTGGATTGCAATAAGATTTTGGTAAACTCTGATTATAAGCAGGAAGGTGAGGTCGATAGGTCTTAACACAAAGGACTTACTATGAAAACACTGTTTTTTTCTCTACGGTCCAAAACAAAAGTTTTTTAATGCTTTTATTTTCCTACTATTTGAATGCGTTAACTTTCATTGTATCGTTAACCAATAAAGACTCGTTGTAACGAAAAATTTGAGAGGGGGGTCGGCGTCTTATATAATCGAGTGGATGTATATAATTGTGACTTGAAGGATGCACAACACAAGCAACACTACACCGTGTTAATTTATTTGAAAAGATAAGACACGGATATACAATGTTTAATGTAAGAAGACACGGCACACAATCGACTTGAGTTAAGGGGCGTCTCCATAACGTTATGATCCTTGACCTAGCCTAACTTCGTTACTTGTTCACCAACCTATTTGTTTAACAATCAACTGTAACGAGCAGTAACCAGCTGAGACTGGACTGAGTCTGTACTGAACTGCTTCGTATCGAACTATAAACTGCTTTCTATTGAACTACGAACTGCCTGCTATTTCTCTCAGAGACACCCATATATATAGAGAGAAAGGGAGAGGGAGAAATAAGTAGAAGAGACGAATGGGAGAAAATAGACAAAATGGAAGAGAGGAAAAGGAGAGAGGAAAGAGAATCGAGAATGAATTACGCCATGCTCGAGCGAGAACAAGGGGCGGGATACCAAAGGACATCCGACGTCCTATGTAAACGCTATTAGTCTCATCACGTTGGGATAATGTGCTTGTTAGCATCGTATGACGTGATATCGACTGGCGTAATCCGAAGAGGCCAAGTGCTCTTTTGGCACATCCTCCCCTTTAAATGAGACGCGCTCGCGAGCGTCTAGGAAGTAAAGCATAGAGAGGGAGTAGGAAAGAGAGTAAAAAGAGAGAAAGAAAGAGAAAAAAAAAATGGTGAACACTACAAACTAATGGTATCTAACATGCAACAACTTTGACTGGTGGGTTGACCACGCCACAAAAATGAAGTGCACAAAATGTAGAGACACAAAGCACACACAAAAAATGAAAAAATTATATAACATAATAATGATGGGGAGCGACAAATAGAGAAATGTTTTTGCTTCCTTGTCTGGTGTTCCCTATGTGAGTTATGACAATGTTCCTGTTAGAATTGGCTTCGGCTCCTCGTACGTTGCTCGTAAGCTCGACATTGGAGGTATCGTGATGGTCAGGTTTGTCATCTTCTGCTTTCTTGAGTAGATTTGGAACGTTTGAACCCCAATGATGCCGATAATTATGACTATCAAAGCAATCGTGGGATTTTGTTCATAGCGACCATCGGAATCAGGTAACACATATCTTCCATCATGGGAATTTCTACGGTAAACGTAATAATTCTATTCGCTGGTGTGTATTCCGATATATAGTGCAAAATGAGACCTGACTAAGTGTGTACCAAGTCTGTTTTGGGTAGATTAGTTATGGTTGGGTTCGTGTTTGCAATTTCTGTGGTGATCATCACCAGAAAGAACAATGTTTGAAAGTTTTTGTCGGACATTCGTAGTTATTCAACGTTGTTGTCTATGGCTTAGCGCTTGGCGTATGTATACACGTGCTCTCCAATCTCTACGATTTGGTTTTGTATCGTTCTGTCCGTCTCTTTTTTTCTTCTTTGTTCATATAAATTTCGTAATTCGTACACTATATGTCAATGCCGTCATTCCTCATGTTCCATATCATTAACCTTCATTATAGAAGATGGATTCGTATCATTACTCACATATAACTTTTCGTACTTGACTCTTGTTTAATAAACGATTTTGTGTATGGAGCAAGTTTAATGTACTTGTATTATATATATGAATTTTCCATACACACGTTTTAAATGAATTAATACGAGTTTATTCTGAGTATCGAACGGGTAGCTTACGCTGCCTGCTCGAAGTTCGTTTTCTGTCAACTTGCTTCTGGGTCGTCTGTGATTGACCAGATTCTGTTGATCTTTGTTCTGTTCCGGAAGTGTCGCTAGCCGACGTAGGGGGTTGTTCGTTCGACATTGGTTCGAAATATCGTTTCATTCGATCTACGTTGGTCACACCTAGGTTGACACCATCACTAATACGTTGAACCGTAAAGGTCGAAGGGCCTAATTGTTCAATCAACCGGCACGGACCTTGATATTTTGGTTGAAATTTTCTGTTGATTAGTATGCCACCGATTTGAGGTGTGACATTTGCCACCCAAACTAAATCACCGACGTTAAATTGTCGTAGCGATGTGTGTAATAATCTACATCACTTCATAAAACTTCGGAATAATACATATTCCTTTGTAGTGATTCATATTCGTTCAGAGAAATTCGTACTAATTCGCATTGCTTCGTAAAACGTCATAGAAAAACGAATCTTATCATAAAAACGCATAAAAATACACATTGTTTTATAATAATTTACCGCACTTCCTAAAATTTCAAAATAATTTATGCGGTGCACCTCATCATTTAATAATAATTCATATTTTTTCGCGAACGTTGCGTAATAATTCCAATTACTTCATAAACATACATCATAGTAGCCTATGTTTCTTAATTATTCATAATAACTAATAGTAATTCACACTACTTCATACTTTTGGAAATTGCAGCTGCTCGCACCGTTGATAATGTTCACCATTTAATCAGGTCTGCGTTTCCACTTTTAGCTATAATACTATTCATATTGATGATACTGAAAAATCTTTCAGTAAATTTCTATCCGCTTCTTCGGATAATGCACTTCTTTCAATATTGGTTTCTTGATGTGTTAAACATGTAATAGAGCATTCATAGTCATGACGTCTGTCGTTAAATTGTTAGCCTTCTTTTTGAATTATGTCCTTCTTATATCATTTCAACTTCTTCACAGAAGATTTGACATGGTAAACAATTGCAAAAAAAAATTTAGGCTTCAAGAGTATTAAATGATTTCGTGATTAATATTGATATATGAAAATGGTTTATCAAAAGATTAGTAATGTAACGAAGACATTGAAATTTCGTCCCCATGCACTTTTGCCGTGGGCCGTTGATTACTTATTTTCAGAATCACAAATAACAAGTAATAATAGAGGGTTAACTTTTCCACGTTTCGATTCGTCCATAACTCAATATAGATGCTTGTGAGAATCCGAGTGTCCAAAGTCCGAATACTGAGTCCGAAATTAAATTGGTTTGTTACGTTATGGCGTAGAATAAAAGTGATTCAAGATCACGAAGAATTTAAATTGTTCTAGAATATAGTGAAGGCTTTTTAAAATGTTCATTTAGATATGCGGTCGATATCGTGAGAATGGTCTTGTTTGAATCAACACTTACGAACGAATCGGGAACATCGCGAATGGAAGAATTTGTCAAATTATATACCATTCCAATTCGTAACAATATCGAAAGCAGCACTAATGCATACTGGACAAAGCTTTTTCTTATGATTGCTAATAAGTGATTGAGAGAACGATTTTGCGAGGGTGGCCTTGAGGCTAATGATAAATTTAGTAAACGAGGTTTTGGATTTGGCTCATTTCGTGTGTGCTTCAGTTTCAGCTTGCAGCGCGCTTTTGTCAGTTTGAATGTTCGTGCACGTCGCCAGTGGTGATCACCGACGAAACTTGTGACGTTTATACGTTTCACTGGATCACGCGATGCATGAGTACTTTCCGTTTCGGCTACAAGTAGGTTTGGTGTTTGCCCCGTACCAGATTGAGATTGATTATCATTACTTCGAACTGTCGGATACTCTTTTTCATCCAATCGATTATTTACCGTGAACTCGAGTAAATCTTCGACAGGTGGCTTTTCCTTGATGGGTCCAGTAGGTTGCGTTAATATCAATTCTTCCTGAACAGCTTTGCATGCAAAAATTTTTCGTTGCAGTTCAATTTCGTGAATGAACCATGATTCTGTTCCAGCGGGCCAAGATGAATCTGAGCTGATTTCTTCATCTAATACAATTGTCATTCCCGACTGATGATTGGATAATGCTTTTTGTTCAACTTTTGACGCTTGTTCACCTGCTGTCACTTCTTGCTGACCTTCGTTTGGCCTTTGAGTCCGAAACTGACTAATTCGATTTTGACGTTCTTCTGAGTCAGTGTACCGAGGACATATGAATGTTTTCCTATTAAGCCGAATCTTTTCGTCGATCGCTTCATAAATACAAGTAAGACAAATCGTATGAGAACATTGGCTAATTATATAACTATGGTTATATACACAGTCGAAACAAAAACTATTTGCTTGGCTGTTGCGACATTCGCTGGTTGGGTGTCCGAAAAGTGTGCCGCTGTTGCATCGAACAGATGTTGTCTGTTGATTTAAATTGTCATTTATAGACGATTGAGTGCTATGAGTCGGGTTTTCTAATAGGTGGTGAACAGCTTTTTCCACTGTGACTTTTTCGGTTACGGATTTTTCCGCTACCATAGTCGTTAACGTATCGATTTACTGACTTTGAAATATTGATCAGATTTGTAGTTGTTGATACTTCTTATTCGTTCCTCCTGTCTGGGTCGCCAATTGTAACGAAAAATGTGAGACGGGGGTCGGCGTGTTCTAGAAACGGGTGGTGTTAGATAGTTNTCTAATAGTTCATCTCCTACTTATAAGAAAAAAAAAAAAAAGAAAACACATAGTTTAACCAGACCTCCACCCGCCCCGAGGCCGGCTAGAGAAGTCGGCTGACTGCAGAGCCCGAAAAATATCGAAATTTGATTCTATATGACATCTGTACTATTTCGAAATCTTACACTCATGTGCATATATACTTTAATTATTGTCTTGCCTAGCTTAAATTCATCCATGAAAGAGTCTAAAACGTTTAGAAAAATCTCTGTATGGTTTATACACATGAGATACAAAGAACAATAATGAACAGCTGAGGGCTTCCTTATATGGAAATCTATGATTCAGATTTATTATCGCTCACTAGTCAGCTGAACTAAGATAGCTGAAGGCGACTGAGATTCATTATGGTTTCTTCTACATGAGTGTAAGATTTCGAAATAGTACAGATGTCATATAGAATCAAATTTCGATATTTTTCGGGCTCTGCAGTCAGCCGACTTCTCTAGCCGGCCTCGGGGCGGGTGGAGGTCTGGTTAAACTATGTGTTTTCTTTTTTTTTTTTTTCTTATAAGTAGGAGATGAACTATTAGATATTTTATGGTTTAAATGTGAACATGATGTTTCTGAATAAATATTGAAGATTTTGCATGTATATGCCAAAGTTAGGCTTACGAAATTTTAGTTTCGATCACGATCACGATCACGAAAAAAATGTCTGATCACGCACGATCACGATCACGATGGCAAAAAAAGTTTCTAATCACGCACGACCACGCGTGATCGTGACCGTGATCGTGAAATCGACGATCACGCAGACCACTAATGTATACCTATCGATCGTCGTCGATGTATCTTTTTTATTTGTTGGTGGACTTTCCCGTGGTGTTGATACATTCAATGCTTGTGATGATTCATAACGATCATTTGGATTATTCGACAATTTAATTGTACGTCCAGTCGTCGATGTTGATGATTCATTTGATTCAATTTTATTCTGTGTCGTTGATGAAGGCAACGATGGACCATATAGTATTCGATTCGATTTTGTCGATGAAATCGTTGCTGTCGTACTACTACTGCTGTTGTTAGTGATCACTGGTTCTGCTTTGGTTTTTTTAAAAAATAAATAATTATATTAATTTTTTTTTCTATTCGTATTTTACCTGTTGGATTATTAGTTGATGAATCTTTTTGTATTGAACGAGTGCTTGGTGATGGTGTTGATTGTGTATCTGATAAAATAAGATAATGATTAATATTATTTGTATAACCAATTGCCGGTGTAACAATAGGATTCATTTTCATACTAGCATTATTATTATTACTATTGTTGCTATTATTATTCTGATTACTTGTTGATGATAGTGTTTGTCGTTCTGGAACTGAATGAAATTGACTTTCTTCAATCATATAACGCTGTTTATGGACCACCGATAACATTTAGCTAATGTAAACAAATCGTGACGACGATCTTCTTCAGCTACACATATAACTTTAATAAGTAGTTCAAATGCAGTATAAAATGTTGTAAATTTTTGAATATATAAGCAAAAAAATACTCAAGACTTGTAATACATTACGTATTTGTATATAATCATTTGAATTAAGACAAACAATAAAACTTTTTGCTAATTTATAATGGCATTTATGACATACATAACACAAATTATCATAATCAAGTTGTTCAGGTATTTGTGTTATACCTATTGTTCTCGTTGCCGCATTACCACCACTACAAAACATAGTAAAAAAACTTGGATGTGTTGCACATTCCTAGAAATTGTTTTTTTTTAAAATAATATTACAAGCAAAAAGAAAAAGACAAACAATCTTTTGATATATTTAATCTTAGCTACCGAATACATACATAATTAAACAGAAGTAGTCATCCTCTACTAAACTAAATAGATCTCGCTCTGGGATTAAAATCATTATGACATTTCGATTTTTCTTTTGACAAAATTGATTAAAACCTGTCCGAGAAATAAACAACTGAGACTTCAACCTTGAAGTCCGATAAAATCTTTGAAGTCTGATAAAATCTTTGAAGTCTGATGAAGTCTTTGAAATCTCATGAAGTATTCTGAAGTTTCATGGAGTCTTCTGAAGTCTCATAAAGTCTTTTGAAGACTGATGAAGTCTTTCGAAGTCTCGTGAAATCTTATAAAGTCTGATGAAGTCCCATGAAGTTTCGTGAAATTTCAAGGAGTTTTTTTTTGAAGTCTTTGAGCTACGGCTTTTAATATAACATCTGATGCAAATGAAGTCCTGTGAAGTCTCTTGAAGGCTCGTGAAGTTTTGATGAAGTCCGACGAAGTCTTGTGAAGTCAGATGAAGTCTTCCAAAGTCCTATGAAATCTAGTGAAGTCTTAAGAAGTCCTATGAAGTCTCATGCAGTCTAATGAAGTCTCTTGAAATGTTATGAAGTTTGATGAAGTTTCTTAAGTCTGTTTAAGCCCTATGAAGTCTAGTGAAGTCTAATGAACTCTTTGGAAGTCTCATGAAATCTCTTGAAGGGTCATGAAATCCTCTGAAGTCTCATGAAGTCATTTGAAGTCTTCTGAAGTCTTTTAAAAATTTGAACTTTTTAAACGTGATGTCTCTTGAACTGCTTTGAAGTGTTGAAGTGCTCTGTTTCTCCCTCGGACCTGTTCCCTCGAAAAAAAAAAGTCAAGGATTCTCTAAGGAACATGTTCGTAGTATAATATTAAATTACCTTATTAAATTTGTTCTTATCACCATGTCAAATCATAACAGTTTCTAATAATGATTCAAGAAATCTTTCATAACATATAGCTTCATTTTCTGAACATGAAGTAAGTGAATATGATATATCAGGAAAAAGTCGATCATAACAAATAATTGTACTAAAATTTGGTGTTACTAAATCATGTATAACACGTATAAAATGTGCACAATAAAGTGCATTGATTTCACTTAATAAAGATCGTGGAAAAATACATAATTGGAGAAGTTCAGTTATAGTTTCAGCTTTGATTTTATTTCCTAGAAACAAACATTATTTTTTTTCTAATCGATGTTTAGAAAGACAAAAGAAAAAAAAAGATTTAAATTTAACATACGATTTTTAAACCAATGTTCACGTTCTATATCAAGTCGTGCACGTACTCGTTCAACATGTTCTTTTTGTTTAAATAATTCTTCTTTAAATTTATCTATAATAATATGAATTTTTTCTTTTTCTTTTTGTTTTTTTGCTGCTGTCTACAATAAAGGAAAAAAACAAGTATAAATGTGTTTATATATTATTGTGTTTATTTAAACAAACTAATTCTTTTCGTTCAGCAATTTGTGTTATTTCAAGTTCAAGTTCTTCAATACGTCGTTTATATGTTATTTCTGGTACTTGTAAATCCGACATTGATAATGATCAAAATTTTAAATAAAATTGTGGTCTATAGAAATTTATAGATAATCATAAGAGAAAAAAAAACAAAATGGTTACATACGTCATTTCTTTCCATGTTCGTTGTGGATGAAGTGTTTTAACAAAATCAAGTACAGATGACATAACAACCATTACTGCATCAATATAATTTTGTATCTAGATAGAATACAAAAAGAACAATAAACAATTTGCTATGGACAACTTGATGAAACTCAAATCAAGTGGTTTTTTTCGTTATCAGGCAGATGCCACAGTGTTAAGTCTTTTTTCTAACGTTCTGATTCTATATCTTATGAGGGAATCATGAACACCAGAAAAAAATGATTTTCGAATTTCGACTTGAAATTTTACATATAAATAGATCTTACCGAGAATAGTATTTTGTGAAAATTTCAGATCTTTTTGTTGTTTCTATCCGTAGATACAACTATGATAACTTCATTCGGATAAACCAGAAGATTTCATGTTCTCAATTCAAGATAGAAACAAATCAAAAGACCTGAAACTTCCACAAATAACTATTCTCGATGAGATCTGTTTATATGCAAAGTTTCAAGTTGAAATTCGAAAATCATTTTTTCTGGTGTTTCTGAGAGGGACTACGGCATTTATTTAAAAACATACCGTAAAACTACAGTACCTCTATAGTAATAAACTAGCAGCCCGAACTTTTTTCAGGGTATTTATAGCACATCTGTACCTACATAATGCACAGTCTCAATGCAAGAGTGATGGATCAATTGAGGACCTTCTCTCGTATCCAGACCCAGGCAATGGATTCTAGTACCAAGCAAGACTTATTTTAGTTGTGCTTGTCTCTTGACTTAAAAAGAAATTATTTGAACAAAAGTCATTGTACTTCCGAATTCTATTTGAATTAAAAGAAATGTCATATTTACCGAAGCAATCTTATTCAATGATTTTGGTGCTGCTGATCGCAGTTCATCAAATTTTGCCTAATAAAAATAAATTTTATTATATTTTCAATATTTATATAATCATTTACTTAAATATTAAGATTAAATTATGGTTTTGATATATGAAAAGCCGCATCAACTTGTAAATGAAAACCAAGTACAAGATTATCAATTGAAGGAAATTTATGATGAAAATCTTGAAGACAGATATCTATCTTAAATGAGAATAAGAATAACAACACAATAAAAAAAGAAAAAGAACGATATCATAATAAAAAAAAACTAAATAAAAGTTCATCTTTAAGTTCAAATAGGACGTGGTGGCTGGCATTGTCCATGAAAAAACTAAAAAACAAGAGAATGATGGTGACATGAAATCAATTGTAACACTTACATTTAAACCACCTGACCAATACACTATTTTAATTGCAAATTGGCCAGGTGGTAAATCACCGTTGCAGCCACAACATACTTTTCCATTTTCAAGTCGAACAACATGACGCTAAAGGAAATATATACTATTATTATTATATTTTTTCTTATAAATTTACTCGTTTTTCTCCCAAGTCTCTTGTTAATTGAAGCTAAAAACAAAAAATTTATTGAACGATTAGTTTAATATAAAACTTACATAATTATTCATTTTTTTTTGATCGAGAAAAAAATATCTGAAACAAATAAGAAAACTTTAAAAAAAATCTATACCAATTATATATATATATGTTACGGTCAAAATTGGAATCTGGTCAAATTCTAAATTTGACCAGACGAAATTGGAATTCTAATTTTGACTAGGCAAAATTAGAATATTTTTTTATGATGCATGTAAATCAAAGAAGCCAGAGTAAATCGAAAAACATATCGACACAAAGGATAGCGAAGATATAGGTGAGACTCAGATACAAGTTGGGGCATTGCTGAATAAACCCGATCATGAAGATGCTAGTGAAATTGCAGTTGTCCAAAGTTTCTTATTTTTCAGCCACTCTCACTCACAGCTACCACAAAAAGTAGCTGGATAGTCTTCGAACTCTCATCCACACCCTCAGGATCATCTGTGTTGATATGCTCTGCGATTCACTCTGGCTTCTTTGATTTATATGCAACATTATTGATGTTCCGGTTTCTTTCTTTGTTATCTCTTAAAGACAAAAAAAATAATACAAAATATTTAATAAAATAAAATTTCAAAACGAATGAAAATATATGAGAGGAAAACACACAAAGAAAAATCTTGAAACGAAAAATATGGAATAGAAAAGATGTCAGCAAATTACATAATTTTACGTTTTAAACTATAATTGGCTATTATTAAAATGATTTTAGATCATCTTCCTCGCTCTCTATAGTGTCTATAATCTAGAGTGACCCATTAATTCAAGATGAAAATGTTCAGTTGGAATATTTAATAATTCATCTTTCTGTTGGTGCTTTATCTTCAACATCACCAACATATACAACAGCTTTACAACGACGACGATTTGAAATGTTTATAAAACAATTCGAGAAGAGTGAAACGAGAGCAAAGCAATTGTTGAATAGATTAGCATTATTATTTGTATCACACAGAAAATGCAAACTAAGACTTTTAGCTTAGCTTTTTTTTTATTATCATATTATACATGATCGAACAAATTTCTTGTTGTTAATAATAATAGGAAAATTTCATTTTCGACATTCTTTTATTCGATATTTTCATTTTCTGTGTTTTCTAGCAAACCAATCAGTTTAACTACTTTCCTTTTTGTTTTTCAATACTATTCTTTTTCAAGAAAACTGATTAGAAATTCTCAAATATTATGCACAACAAAATTCAATCAAATATAATCTTATATCTCTTTTTATCTTCTATTGACAATGCTGAAATGCATCAGTATTGAACTTGTCTCTATAAACATACATTGAAAAAACATTTCCAATTCTTCTCTTTTTAAATGAATATTGGATTGATATTAGCTTGTTAAAAGAAAAAAATATTTGATAAATCTGAACATAATACACTAATGATTGTAGAGAGAAAAGAAAATAAGATCATGTAAATATTCAGATGTGTTATAAAAATATTTTTCACTTTATCTGTCACTGTCATCTAATTTATGAATGATTCTATTTAATTCATATAAACCCTTTTTCTCTTTATGTTTGATTTCATCTCAAACAAGTAATTGTCAGCAGTTAAAGACTGTCTATTCATTGTAAGTCGTTTCTAGCCAACATGTCTCTATTCTTTATAGATATAGTCTTTCTCCAGGTATGTATCCAGAGAATACATAATAATGAAATAAAAACCAAGTTTCTATATCTATTTTGTTGGTTCTACAGATGGAGACTCGAGTCCAAAAATCATAATAGTGACTTTTTTTCCCCGATTCCGAAACAACAGACAAGTTTGAAATATTATTTTATTTGACAATAAGAATGAACACTATGGAGAGAAAATAAGAATCATATGGTTTGGACACTTGTGACAAAGTCAAGATCTTTCCATTAACTGCTGATCTATTTTGAGAAGGAGTAAAAGTAGTTTTGTTTTGAAAAATTACCATACATTGCAATGACATAGTCTAAGATATTTTTCTCTTGCATGTTCGCTACGGGAAAATTTCAACTCGTCAGGATTTTTGTTTTCTGGCTTTCGTAACGACAGAATCAGGGCTTTCGTAACAAAAAATCAGGGACTTCGTAACAAATCTTACGGGACGATCGTAACCGGTGTTTTGATATGTACCATTACAGAGCTTTCATAACAAAAAGCATGTAATTTCTGCATACTAAGTCGAACTATCACCCTAATCCTCATTACGAAATCCCTGCTGCTTCGTTACGAAAGCTCTGCAACTGTTACGAACTCCCTGTATTAATCGTTACGATCGCCCTGTAAATTTCATTACGACATCCCTGTATTTTTGGATATTCCTATTTTTGGTGTTACGAAAGGTCTGATTTTTGCTTTTTGTTCAACTCGTCACGTGACGAGTTGAAACTTTCTCTTCGCTACTGTATTTGACGAACAATTGCTCATCGAATACATCGGAGAACGCAAGAGAAAAGAGAAAAATATTTTAGTTACGCCATTAATACATTGCCCTGTGAATCAGAATGATCAATTTTTCGCTCTCATCTCGCCATATTATCTATGGTAACGAACACATTGAACAAAAGATTCTTGTTCATTGTTCGAGGTCAATATAAACAACAATGGAAATATTTTGCGATGATGTACATTGTTGAACACAGCTATACAAGGTACAATCATTTTTATTTTCTTCCTCATTCGATGGCATTAATTACACAATTCGACGATTTACCGGATCTATTCTTTATTGATCTGTTTAATTATTTATCTTCAATCGATATTCTTTGGGCATTTACCAATTTAAATAATCGTATTCAAACAATAATCAATGAACGAGGTTTCTTTCGTCACATCAATTTATCATCAGCACGTCTGTCAAAATTTGATACACTTCTTACTATACTTCCATTGAATCAAATTCAAACACTCATCATTGACATAGAAGCATCGCCTCTTCAACTTTCTCGCTGGCCTTATTTGCCTCATTTGATTACATTACGATTATATGGTTTACGTGACTTTATAGATGCTACCAATTTTATCCTTCGGCATTTAACTTCACTCATACATCTTACATTGGAAACAAACGATTTATTTATGTCGGTATGTATCACTCAATATTATCTTCAAACATATATTCAAGTGAAAAAAAAATCATTGAAAATATCTTATTTAGTATCTTCTGATTTTCATGCTACCATATTTTTGATATCAAGATCTTTTTTTTGCATTAATTAGAATAAAGAACTGAATAATTATAGTCCGATGTCATAGATATAGAATAAAAAATAGTGTTCAGTCATATTTTCATCTCTATTTTTCTATACTTTAAGTTATTGTTATTAATAGTATATATTAGCAATGTTCAATCTCATTATGAGTCGTCAATGAGTGACTTCTATAGATGAAAACACGAATTGACAAAAAAAAATGGAAAAAAAGTAACAATTGAGTACCACAGCAGTGATATGTGAAATGAGCACCGAAAAATAAGATAATTGTCTAATTTAATTTCTTATACTCGACGACAAAAAAAATCTAGAATTTTTTTTTGGTTTCACATAAATTAAGTTGCTGCTCAATTGTCTTATTTTTTGGTGCTCATTTCACATATCACTGTTGTAGTGCTCAAAACACTCATCCAAAAAAATTGTCGTTTGATGAATTCTCCAATATTCTCATGCGAAGACCGTTCTTTTTCTTGACTAATGAATTTGATTAATTATTTTTATTTTTTTAGACGGGCTTTACGGGTTATATTTTGCACCCTAGAGGACGTCTTCCAACACTTGTGAAAAATGTTTTGCCACATTTGAGTGCACTTCAGTCGCTCGATTTGGGTCAAGATGTTGGATTCGGTCTCACGAATTGGTACATCACTACAATACAAAGCTCTCTCAATTATCTTCGTGTATCCATGGAAGACATACCACATTTATGTCATGTTATGTCAAGAGAGACACTTTCAACTACATTAGAACAATTGCATGTAACAATGCGTAGTCTACATGCGAGAAGTAAAAATAGTTTACCTAAAGGATTAGTGTTGTCTAAAATGATCAATTTGCATACATTCACTTTGGTGCAATCGATATTTTCCTATAATAGAATTGAATGGTCAACTATTGAATCACTCACAGCTTCAAATGTAATGCCCGTACTTCGACGAATGAATTTGGCTATTTTCATTACTGTCGATCATTTAAATTGTATCAATAGATCATCACTTTTCATTGATGATCGTCAAATCGATGTTCAATTCGCTTTCATTATAGACGATATTTCTCTAGGTATTCAACTAAGTCATCATGTGCCACATGGCAGTCGTTTTCATCCACGGCAAATAGTTGGTGTAACCTGTGTTCTAAGTTACTTATCTCGAAAGTATCAAGAATTGACAAATATCAATTGCTATGTGAGTAATTGTATTATTACACAATTTTTATTTGACAACATCCTGATGAGAAATTAAGAAATGAACAAAATTTAAATTTTCGATTTTTTTCCAAACTATTGATGCAATAATCTTTTATTCTAGTTCAATAATTATTCATTGGCTTATGATGTTTGGTACACATTACCATGGGCATTTGAACAATTCTTCGACTCGATTGAACCAATTCAATATATAACTAAAGTAGAAGTATTAGCTCTACCTTCATCGTACTCATCCATTATTAGTTCATCTCGATTTCGTACACTTAGTATATCACAAAATGACTCATTACCATCGATTATTTCAATGCCTCATGTTGTGCAATTAAATCATGTTAACACAGTTCATTTATCATTTCATGATTGGCCAACTGGTTTAAATCTTCTTGCTCTTCGTCATGTTACATTAACAAATAATCTCATTGCATTGAAAAGCTTCTCTTCATTTCCACCTAATATTCGTTCTATTCAAATTCTACTTCATGCTGATAAGCCGAACTTCGACTCAAGCAATTGGTCTATATTGCGTTCACTTTCAGCCTTAACGATGCTCNGATGAATCCGTATTTACCTGTCAATATTAGGGGAGAAAAGTTAACGTTAGGGAACCACTTACACTGTAACGAAAAATTTGTGAATTTGATTCTATCGTCAAGGAATGACTGCTGGAGTTTAGACAAAAATTCATTACAGATTCGGATTTCTCGTCTTCAAAGACCTTCGATCAAATTTTATAACAAAGGATCATGATTTTCTCCAAATAGCTATTCTTTGACGAAAGAATTAAATCTAAGAATTTTTCGTTACTTGATAGCCGATAATGGCAACATCTCACTTCTAGTGAATATCGGTTATTTTTTCGTGCCGATGAAATGATGATGGCAAATCGATGAATGATTGTCGCCATTGCATTCCTACCCTTATTCAGACTATGACCTTCCAAAACCTCAAAAATTCAGACTATGATCACTGTTTACTAATAAACTAAAACAGATATTTCTTTTTCAAAACGTAATACAATTGATGTCGGTTTGGTTTTTCTGCTTCCTAAATGACACTGTTTCTATACTGATAAGCTTAATTTTTGTAATCATTTAGACAATAGACCGTTTTTGCATTCATTCAGCAGCCTAAACTACGTATTCTTCTCTACGAAAGTAGTTCATATATTAGAAAGAAAGACAATGCTAAGATTGTCTGTCATGTCTATAGGCGAAGGAATGGAAGCGTACAATATTATACACCTATACTTCAACACTCATTTTAGATCGTGTTTCACAAAATATTAGAAAAATCTTGTAGAATGATTCATGTTAATCTTACCGGTACATTTCAGCACAAATTTTCGCTAGAGAGCTCAAACTTTGGAAAATTAAAGATCTTAGTTAGATATATATATGATACAAATTTCAGATATCTACGTAAAGAAAATGTAGAAAAAAAAATATCGTTGACAATTTATCTTCAGTTATTATGGAGACATTCTTGATTCAAATATAACTTGTGCATTTTCAAGCCAAAGATAAAAACTTGTTTAAGAAATTCTCTCATTCGAGTTTTAATACTAGACATCAAAATTGATTCATAACCGTTCATAATTTTTTTTCAATTATTTACATTGTAATATTGTTATCGTCAATGTATAAACACAATAATTCGATATTCAAACAACAAAATGTTCATTAAACAATATCATTGAATACTAATATAAAACATAAACTTGTTTTTTTCAAAATTCATTTACTGTTTATATTAGAGAAGTTTTTATAATTTCATTTGTACGTCTTATAATACTGGAAAATGTTTTTTTTTAGTGAGAATTCAATACACAAACAAAATTTGAATGAGAACAATTGTTGCTGAAATGATGTTTCCTATATGGTATAATGAGAAAGTTGTATCAACTGTTAATATACCATGATTTATTTTGCTAAATGAAATTAAATGACCAATAACAAAATGACGAGTATTAAGTTAATAATGTAAAGTAAAACAGCATCGAGTGACTGACCAACAAAATTCTTACTAGCTAGATATTCAATATAATCAGAAGAGAAAAAATGCATCGACATTTCTAAAAATATACGCATCTATGATGGTTCGTTACACTTGTTCGACAAATCATTTGCTATAAGAAAGAGTTGACTGAGTAAAATTAGATCTCTTAGAAAGTAATTATCTTCGTAAATCGAATATGTTTTCATGCGTTATTCTTCATTTTTTGACTTTATGCAACATACATATCTTACAGTTTAAACAAAATATTCAACAATAATCTATAAAACTGTCATACTTTATTGAGGTAATTATGTAATAGATTATAGTCATTAGAATACATTCAATACTAAAATTTGACTCCAGTTAAATAATTCTTCAATATTTTTAGATGAAATCGGTATAAAAAGAGTTCGGTGACGTTCTTATCAATCTATATTAGTTTTCTTCAAACTTACATAGCTTAAGAGCATTGAATTATTATTTTTTTTTTTGCTTTTCAAATTATCAATTGTAGGCAAATAACAATTAATAAAGTTATATGATGAACAAGAAGTACATATCAATAGTATATCGTATATTTGTACATAATAACAGAATAGAAATGAAAGAGTAAAAATAAATCTATTATATAGTCAGGTCTTTTCGTAATTTGTTGCCTTTTCATTTTTTTTCTTCTTTCAATTGATTGATTTGTAATTACAAGTGATAATTATAACAAACGAGAGATATGCATGATAATATGAAGAATTAGTTTCAAATAATATTTACTTGTTCGATATTGAATTAAATACAAATAGTTATCCTAACGTGAAACGTTATTGAGCTTTATTTAAATCTACGCACTCAACGTTCAATCGTATATTGTCCATTTAAGTTAGACATAAAGAAAACTGAAGTCTAGGAAAAATGAATGTTATTCTTATAAATTTTTTTTATACAACGTCGAAATGCATTTTTAGAAATATCTTAAAAATTAAGGAAAAAAGTTCGTTATATCTTTGAATTTTTTTCCTATAGATTTTCAGTGATATTCAATGTTAATCATTCAAGTATCCTTCCATTTCAATGCTTTATTAAAGAGAAAAGTCATTATTCTTTGTAAAGAATCGATTTGGAAAAAGATTTTACTTGATTTTTACAGTACATATTATTATTTCAAAAAAATTTCATCTTATGCCTTAGGCTATTTGACATGGCAAAGAGAATTTTTTATGTCGATCGGATCAAATTGAATTGTTCTATGAATGTATTCAATCGTAAATAACAATTGTATGATGATTTTTTTGTTCGCATCATAGCCAAGCTCGTTTAATTTGAATGCAGGTAGTTTAGTGAAATGTTTCCTTTAAGGATTCTTTTAACGTTATTAATAAATGTAATGCTTTTGTCCTTGGAAAAATGTTTTAAAAACTATTTTAAACCTTACTGACGTCCGCTTTTATAAAACTATTACTTAAAACTCATTTCAATGAATAATAAAGTATTTCCTTGTAAATAATTAATTTATTTTTGAAAAATTCTTTAATTATATGATGAAAAAAAAAAACAAGTTTAAAAGAAAAACCAACAAATCTTGTTTTCTTATGAATTTTTATTATTTTTTCTTCATATCTCAATTTGTAAACTAAGATCTCAACCTATCCATTATCATTTGCATCTATCATGATTATTTGCTTAATATACATTAATGGTAATAGTTCAAATATTTTCGATCTAACAATCTTACAGCAAATGTAAATATTGTTTTGTTTTCCTACGAACAGATTTTCTTTTCGAGATAAAAGCTTTCCTACTACTATCGACTAAATAAATACTAGGATTTATTTTTATCAGTAACGAACCCTTGAGTGAAAAATAGAACATACGCAATTTACGTTAACATACAAATACGCAATTTATTATTTCTAGTGTGAACCTTGATCGACGTAGTATTCCGGAACAAATATGATTGATCATCATTATCATCTTTGTTAATGTACTCTCATTGTTCTCATCAATTTTTCCTTGTTTTTTTTTTTGGTTCCATCATCAATGGCGTCTTTATCTCCAGACAACACAGAAATCCAAATGCATTTTTGACATCGAGTATTGTCAACAACAAAGCATATCCAACAAATGTCAAAAAATTGTCATACCATAACGCAACCCCAAAAACAACAACAACAAAAACAACAACAACGATGTCTTATTACCCATGAGATTGAGCAAAAAAAAACGAGAAAAAGAAATGTAGGAGAATGAACGTTTCATCAAGCAACAAGAAAATACAAAAAAAGAAAACAAGAAATATAGAGGCATACGCATAGACTTACCAGGAAATCTATAATTGATCTCTGGTCAATTTTGTCATGCTTACAGACAAACAATACTGGTAGTTTGAGTTCAAAATATTTTTTACTGTATCATTTCTGTTTATTTCTTGTGAAAAGATCATATTTGATTGATTATATGGTACAAAAATGAAGCTTTCGTTATTTCTTTATTATGAAAACAAAAGACTTTTCTACTAGAAAAATTTATAGAACTTAGTAAAAATTTATCATTAGAGTTTGTTGATTATGTATATTATTATCAATGAATTCAATTCGTTGATTTAATGAATGATGAAAGTGATGGCAACATGCTTCTTTTGTATTATGTCAATTGAAGAAGCGTCATTTTTTTTCTTATTTGTGTCTTTTTTAAGGTTACATTCATAAATTTTTCCTTCTCCTTTTTTCTTCTTCTCTACACTACTCGTTTCCTAGTTGATTAATGAGAAAAATGAGTCGATCGTTTTTATTTATGCAAGTAAGCACTAATTCTTCGTTTCTGTTTGCATGAACCAGAAGATATTTTTCTTCATTCTGTCGTTAACCATCGTGTCGTTGTTGCTGTCATATAATTAAGCATTCTCGCTTTCTTCTTTCCCAGGTGAACACACATTTTCTTAGTAGTTCTTTTAGTCAAGCTTTCTTTTCTTTTTTTGTGAGACTCTTTTGTCTTTTCATTTGTTCGTCTATTTTAATCTGTGAGTCTCTTGAGTTGAAGATGAGTTATCAATTTCTATTTACTTTTTCGCCCTAAAACACAATAAAGTCAAGTTTCTTTTACATGCAAGCTGATAAGTCAATATTAGTAAGAGAAAAAAGATGGCCAGTATGTAAATCTATAAAAGCTTGAATGAATAAAACTAGGAGAGACAACACATCAACGTTCCCGGGAAACAGAACACATATACACAATACGCAATGCTGTCATCAAGACATTGTGTACTGTAACGAGGTCTTTTCTCTCTGTCTTGACGACGACTACTAAAAGGGAACATAGAGAGAAAAAAAAACAAAGAGTAAAGAACGACGCGTTGTCAACCAAAAGAAAAGGAAAAAGAGAAGAATGAAATACGACTCATAGAATTCTGTGTATTATTGTACGAAGAGCAGTTCTCTTATTGCATCCCAGCAGTCTTCTTTTGCTTCTTTTTACCACAATTCTATGAGACTACAATCAACGTTGTATCGTATCGTAGTTACTTGTAGCCTGAAAGCGACATTATATTTTTTTTCGGTCGCTGTAACACCG